ATGAATCTGAATCCATGAAAGATGACCCACACATTATTTTTTTTAATAAAACTATTCTTGGTTTCCTCCCACCACCCCTTCAGACCCACGGGAGCATGCTGCATACGTGACTGCAGGCTCACACTGAATCAGCTCCATCACACTGAGAAGATCTAAGCATTTTACAATCTGGATGGAACAGTGTTGAATCACATTCAATAAACGACCCCATCAACATAAAGAAGGTTAAAGTAGAGTCTGACTTTACTGGAAGATAGAAGATCCACTCTGTAGTATGTGGTCGACTCAGGAACACCCAATGATTGTAGTGTTGTTTTGTGGCCACTGGGAGGCTCTAGGAAAGCTGAGGACCCAGAGAAGCAGGATGTGGTTTGAACGTGTAAATAACTGCCTTTTTAGGTTGTTTTTTCAAAAACTAGTGATGAACTACAGGAGCAGTTCATCGCTAAATCAAACATATCAGCTGTGTTCACGATTTAAAACATGCTGGAAGCAGACTGCAATGCATGTCAGCTCCAATTTTCGTAAGTCCAACAGGAACCAGACCAGCAACTCTGAGGTTGCAAGTGAGATATTCTGGCCACAAAGGGTAGTGGGGGTCAGAGTGACATTTCATTAAGAAGAAGGAGAAGAACATATCATTTCTTTAGCGCCTCTCAAGATAAAAATCACGAGGCGCTTCACAAAAACAAACAAAAAATTTGAAAATATAAAAAAGCATTTAGAAAATGTGTAAAAATATATTTAAAATGAGCAAAAATAGGCAATTGGGACTTAAAAGAAAACATGTTAAGAAAGAGAGAGAGAGTGAATAGGAAAGAGGGAAATCAGTGGATCCTGAGGAAAGTGGAATAGGTGGGGAGAGCAGAATAAGGAGACAGTGGTGAAGAAGGTCATATAAAAACCAGCTTGAACAAGTGAGTCTTCAGCTGCTTTTTAAAGGAGACCACTGAGTCCACTGATCTCAGGCTCAGGGGGAGAGAGGTCCAGAGTCTGGGGGCCACAGCAGCAAATGATCTGTCACCTTTGGTCTTCAGCCTGGTGCTGCACAACCAGTAGACTTTGATCACTGGACCTCAGGGACCTGCTGGGGGTGTAGGGACTAAGAAGATCACCAATGTAAGATGATGCTTGTCCATGTAAGGCCCTATAGACCAGAACCAGGATCTTGAAATGAACCCTGAAGTTGACTGGCAGCCAGTGAAGCTGGAGGAGAAGCGGGGTGATGTGGGTGTGTTTGGAGGACTTGGTCAGAAGCCGAGCACAGGCGTTCTGAACCACCTGTAGACGGTTCAGGGAGGTTCTGCTCAGACACGTGAAAAGAGAGTTACAGTAGTCTAAGCGTGAGGAGATGAAGGTGTGGAGAACTGTCTCAAGTTCAGAGCGGGACAGAATGGGACTCAGCTTAGCAACGTTCCTGAGATGGAAGAAGGAAGAGCGAACAAGAGAAGTGACATGAGAATCCAGGGTGAGAGCTGGGTCAAAGGTCACGCCAAGATTCCTGACAGGAGGTTTGGTGTGAGAAGCAAGCTGACCAAGAGAGTCTCTGACTTTGGGAACCAGCTTGTCTGGGGCACAGATGAGGATCTCAGCCTTATCTTCACTCAGCTGTAGAAAGCTCCCAGCCATCCAGGTTTTGATAGAGTCTAAGCAGGTGTGTAACAGCTGCAGCTTAGACATCTCATGGGGCTTAAAGGAGATGTACAGTTGGATGTCATCTGCATAAAGATGGTAGGAGATTCCTTTGAAGGAGCTCAGGATGTGCTGAAGAGGAAGCAGATAGAGGAGGAAGAGCAGAGGCCCCAGCACAGAACCTTGTGGGACACCATGGGTAAGGGAGGTGGTGGAGGACCTAAACTTGGAGACAGCCACAGAAAAGGAGCGCTCAGAAAGATAAGAGGAGAACCACTCCAGAGCAGATCCTGATAGGCCTACCCAGTCTCTCAGCCTCTCCAGTAGCAGGTGATGGTCAACAGTGTCAAAGGCTGCAGTCAGGTCCAGCAGGACCAGAACAGAACAGTCCCCTGCATCACTGTGAGTCAGAAGGTCATTAGAGACCCTAAGAAGAGCTGTTTTAGTAGAATGAGCTCTACGAAAACCTGACTGGAAGCCATCATAGATGTTATGTTCATCAAGAGCAGCTGTGAGTTGTTTAGCCACAACCTTTTCCAAGATCTTGGAGATGAACAGAAGTTTAGAGATGGGTCTGAGCTGCTATGGAGAGAGGGGTCAAGACTCGGTTTTTTAAGAAGCGGGTGGATTACAGCATACTTAAAGTAAGCAGGGACCTGACCAGAGACCAGAGAAGCATTAATTATGAGAGCACGCTGGGACCGATGGACTGAAAAGCACTTTTAAACAAAGATGAGGGTAAGATGTCGAGGGACAAACACTGTCAGCATTTAGACTCAGGGTAAAAACACGGTCTAGAGTGTGCCCCCTGGTGTGTGTGGGGCCAGAAACATGCTGGGTAAAGCCGAAGGTGTCCATGAGGCTGGAGAAATTCATGGCAAAGAGATCGGAGGGAACATCAACGTGGATGTTAAAGTCACCGACAATCACCAGTCTGGACAGCTTTACAGTGGAGGATAGAAAGTCACTAAACTCCTGAAGGAAAGAACTGTTTGGAGCAGGTGGACGATAGACCACAGCACAGTAGAACGGGTTCTTATGCCCGACTTTAATCAGCTGCAGTTCAAAGGAAGCAAAGTGACCAGAGGTTGTAGAGCTACATGGAAGATGGTCTCTGAAAACAACAACTAGGCCTCCACCACAACCAGAACCCCGGGGCTGGCTAAGAAATGAATAACCACTCAGGCAGGGTTCAATCAGACCAGAATAATCAGATGTTTGCTGCCAAACTTCAGTCAGAAACAGAAAATCCAGGTTTTTAGAGAGAATTAGATCATTGAGCAGGAAGGACTTATTGTTAACAGAGCGGGTATTTAATAGAGCCATGCTGAGTGAGGTGGAGGAATCAGAAACTACAGAAACAGCTGGAGTTAGTGGACGTAAATTAGCGGGGTTAGATCCACGGTGTTTATAAAAACCACTTATGGATTGAACAGGAGGAGAAACCACTGAGGAATGAGGATAAACCGACCGTAAAAAACTTGGATGGATGAAACGCGTCGCAACGCGGCCTGGCGGAAATGCGGAAGTGGCGCTCAGGTCACCAAACAAAGGACAAGAAGCTAGAAGATTGCGCCGATGTTTACTAGATAAACCACGCTTTAAGAGAAGTCTCATTCTCACCTGGATTCCTGCTCGTTTACCTCTTTTCCTCCGACGTTTTCCCGGGACCGGACAAACATCGCTAGAGGTGCGCAGCTCTGGATCGTCGATTGGTTCCGGGCCGGTACGCCGCTCAGGTAAATAAACAGGATGGTACGTCCTCGGTGCATCTTGGGCGATCGTGAACGAACGGAAGGACAAAAGTGTCTGGTGATCATAGGAGATGTAGCAGGGACACTACTGAAGAAGATTGCAGACAGCAGCAAGGTGGAAAAGAGGAGGTTAGTGGAGAAAAGTTTGAAAACGTGGCCGGTGACCGCGGCTAGGCCAAGCACAGGCACCATCTTGCCAACCGGAAGTCAAATGAGTAGGATGAGACGTGACAGTTCCAGGTAGGGGTCCTCCTAGCTTCACTTGGAACTTGCATTTCCCTGTAGGTGTGGGCAAATGACGTGGCGCTGACTGGAGGAGCCGCAGTACGCGCACCGACATTCTCGATAACACCGTTCCTTCCTTCTCCTTCGACCTCGCTGCTGGGTGGGAGGAATGTCTTATGGAGCTCCTTGACAAAGGTTATGTAATTGTTGCAGGTGGTGTCTTGTTTGTTACACATTGCCGTGGCCCACACCTGAGCCCGTCCAGAGACTAAGGATGTGAGAAAAGTGACCCAGGATTGCTGAGTGGCATAGAGGTCTGGCTGGCATTCAAAAGGCATGGCTGGCCAGCAGACCATTGGGTGTAGGAATGTAGTGTTAGACGACCCAAATGCGGAGATGCTAATGTTGGGAGAGGCCAAGGGGTGATTTTGGTCTGCATTTTTTGAAGCCAAGAAAGAGTGCCTAAAATGATAAAACTCCATTTGCTTTGGGTTAGCGTATAGCTAATGTCCTGCTGATCTCTAACCGTGGAGCATGAGCTAATGCAAAAGGCCGATTACGACCGCAGCAACGGGTCTGAGGCTCTGCCTGTAATTTGACAGTCCCAGTTCATATTAAATATGCACAACAGACCAGCGTGACTACGGCCTCGCGCAGAAGCCAGTCGACTGTGCGGGTGGGCTACCCCAGAGCCCATCTTAGCTTGTTGGGTTAGCTAAGCTAGTTAGCCACACTGGTTCATTTGTTACAATCCTATTCCAAACATAACAGCCCTACCCTCAGCTCTACCTCTTTTCCCATTTTTGGATTGTTTGGGCATGACAAGACGGGTGGCTTGATGGGCGAGGCTAGCGTGCGGTTAATCTGGAAATGACTCTACGTGGTTTGGATGACAGTGAAACCCCGTGTAGACTTTCTAGTGGATGAATGTCTGTACGACTGGGGAGCCGGAGGCTCAGTAATTACAGCACAGGAAAGCTCAAACTCGAGGCACAGTACAAAACTAATGACTGCGTTTTGAGCCGGTGAAGAGTACTTCCTGATATAGGTTTGTATGATGATGTGGTGGAGGAATTTCCGGTAAGGGGAATGCTGGGAGTTGGGGTCCTAAGTGTTTGGTTGGCGTCTGGAGGGGCACTGGTGGGTAAAGACCATTACACATAGTGAGCCTTTAAACTTTTGTGTTCTTTGTTCAGTTAAACACAATGCTGCAAAACAACTGATAATAAAAAAAGGTTACTGTTAACAAAACAAGATCAAACACTAAAGCAAACATATAAAAATGCTGTTTCTGTATAATATTTAACTGGTTTCCAGTGGGTGTGCACTCGGTCACAGTTCAGACACACCCACGTGAGCGAGACCTTTGTAAATCACTTTGGATTAAAGCATCTGCCAAACAAACATAAGGACCAGATGCCTGTGGGCCAGGCATGTCCAAAGTCCAGCCTTGGAGGGATGTTTGGGATGATGTAAGTCGGCAGTTTTTAACTTTTGCTTGTTCAGAGTGTAAAATAAATTCTGTTGGACCCAGGATGATGGACACACATAGTTAAGAGTTTGCTGACAGGGTCTACACAACTCTCAGTCTAGTTACTTAGTTATCCTTCAAACTTCCTGAGCATAAACAAGCTTAAGGCAGAGGCAGTTGTAGGGTTAATGAACGTGACGTTACACAGTGCTGTTTGCCCCTGATCCTTGTTTTATTGTAGTTAAATTCCCACTCAGTTGGTAATCTAAGCGTGAAGACTAATAATTCCTCAGCTTAAAGGTCGCATTTTTGAGGTTGTAGTATCTTCCTTCTATCACCACAGGCTCTTGGCTCAGGTTAAACCATTCCTGTCTAGATGCGACCATGAAACCATTGTGCATGTGTTTACAACCTTGCACCTAGACTACTGTAACTCTGTCATATTCAGAGTGAGTCAGAGTGCCTTAGCTCATCTGCAGCTTGTCTAGAGGGCTGCTGGGAGAATTTTGGATGGCAGGCAGATGCTTGACCATGCTACACCAATAATGGCGGCTCTGTGTTCGCTACCTCTCTCTTTTAAAATATATTTTAATATTTTATTGGTTTTTAAGTTGTTGTTAAGTTGTTTAAGCTGCTGCTGTATGTTCCCTCTTGTTCAATACCATTCAGAAAACAAAATGTTGCTCTGGGTCCCCAGCTGAAGACGAGGGGGAAGACGGAGCTCTGAAACGAGCTACCATTACATATTCAGCAGTCCTATTTACCCCTGTGGGGCAACTAATAGTGTTGTTGTATCCTCATTTTTCATTGTTTTTATATGTTTGGTACTGTTTAATCTGCTTATATTGTAGTTTATGCATGTCTGTAGAGCACTGTAGTAGCATCTTTGTGACTGTAAAGTGCTATAAAACTTTAGTTTGAGCTTAATCTATGAGCCTTAAAACAGACGTGGAAAGAGGTGACTTTTATAAAAAGGTTAGCATGCACACACACACATCTTGGTGGTCATACACTTGTGTGGACTTGTCATTGACTTCCATTCATTTTTGTGGTTGATGTATGCCTAACCCATACCCAAACCCTAACTGTCAGGGACTTGCACAAACCAGCCAGAGAAGTACTGCTGATGGTTCTGAAAACTGAGGTACTCAGATCAGTAACCTCTCTCTCATCTTCAGAACATAAGAGATCACATTAACGGGCCCCTCCCCTCTCTCTCCTCCCCAGCCCAGGTCTCTTTCAATAGAGCCAGAGGTCCCTGCACCTCATGCCCATCCAAAAGGCATTGAGGCTTGGGGTACCTCCCTGTAGGTGAAGAGAAGGTAAGGCAACCATTGATCCCAGTCAGAACCAGTTTCATCAATGAACTTATGCAGCGTTTGTTTGAGAGTCTGATTAAATCATTCGGTTAAACCATCAGTCTGGGGATGATACGGGGTAGTTCGGATCCCCTTGATCCCCAGTAGCTGGTACACCTGCTGCAATAGAGCAGACATGAAGTTAGTGCCCTGATTGGTCACTATTTCACAAGGGAAACCCACCCGTGAGAACAGCTGCGCCAATGAAAGAGCCACTGCTTTTGCTTTCATTGTCTTAAGAAGGAATACCTCAGAGTATCTGGTTGCATAGTCTGTAATTACCAACTTATAGCGATAACCGGTCTTACTCTTCCCAAGGGGCCCCACCATATCCATTCCAAGACCCTCAAAAGGAGTGTTGATAAGAGGAAGTGGTTGCAATGGTACCTTTGGAGGGCACTGGTTGGATGCTAGTTGACACTGAGGACACGTTTTACAAAATTGGGCAACATCGGACCTCAGACCAGGCCAGTAGAAATGGTGTTGAATATGGGCCCATGTCTTGTGCTTCCCCAGGTGGCCAGTCCAAGGAATAGCGTGACCCAACTCCAACACCATCTCTCGTGCCTCTTGTGGGACCACCAGCTGCCTCTGTACTCCTTGTTGCTGATACAAAATGTCATCCTGTAAAAAAATACTCAGCACAGCCCTTGAGCTCGCCATTCTCATCTCCCTGGGCTCTCTGGGTGAGTTCAGACAGCTCAGGGTCATCTTGCGGCATCAGGGCTGTAGAGAAGATGTTCTTACATTTAATTAGAAACTATAGAATGTGAAATATCGTAAAATATGAAATATCACCTTAATGGATCTTTGAATAAATGTAACCAGAAGATCGGATCTTTTTATTGCAGGGATTGAGCAACACTTCGTATCAACTCCAAGAAAGAGAGAGAGTCAGGTTTAAAAAGTTAAAAGATTTATTTCTAAACAAATTAAACAAGACTGACTTTAAACACTGTGTGTATGATGTAACTAAGGTGGAGTAAGACTGAGGACAGTGTGTGTGTGTGAAATATGTTCAGAACCAGCTAATCTGGAGAAACGATTAGTTCTGATGGGAGCAAAATGGTGTTTCACTCTAAGCTTTTGGGTTGGAGATTATAACACACATTGAGATGCCATTCTGTCGGTCTACGTACACCAACGGAAGTCCCCGTTTAGATCCGGAATGTCGGGGGTCCAGCTTTAGACCCTCTAGGAACCGACGCCTGTAGATATGCAGCGATTGCCGACCCTTCCAGTCTTGAGATACTCCCAGGTCACGACAGTTTATTGCCATCAGCGAGACCCTGAAGGGGTCGTGATGGTTCATCTTTTATTCTGAAGGAACCGTTGCAGCAGGTGGAACATGCAACAGATTTAATCCAGCTTGTCGTTAGGTTCTTTCGGCTTTAAGAGGAAAGTTACGGATTGGCCACTCCGACAACTTCTCTAGAACGCTTTGAACTCAAGTTAAGATGATGTGGGACATAGTTTTATAAGTTGGATGTTTTGATTTACTGTCAAATCAGAATTTGCCACAAAAGGGGATTTAACAAACACCAACAAAACCACGCCCTGCGTCAGATCTGGAAGGTTCTGATTGGATCAGAAAAAGGAAATGTGTCATGTGACTTTTTAGCATTACGTGTGATCAGTCTAGTGTAAATATTTAAAGTTATATTACTTATTAAATACTATCATTATAATATGTTCTCATTTCACTGATAGATTGAGCTTCACACATGGGCGTCAGTTTGTTTTCAGAATTTCTGGGGACAATAAAGGCAGGCTTTTATGAAAGTGGGGGGGACACAGCTGCCAATCACAAATTTTGCCGGGGACATGTCCCCAGCATCCCCGGTTAAAATGACGCCTATGGCTTCACATGATTATTTGGACTAACAAAGCTATTTGATTATTATTTAAAGAGAAGAGTTCTTCGTCTTCTTTCTTGTGCTGTCCGAGGAAGCAACAGTTTAGATAAAAGCACAGAGCGTGAGTGGCCTTGGCCCCTATCTTGTAGATTAGGCTTGTGTCAGAAACTTATGGTTTTGCTTGGGCACAGCAAATAGAGCAGGGCCTTTAGGTCAGAAATGGACAATTCATCACACTAAAGGGCCATCCTTAAAGGCATTGTGAAACCCTGTGGTACCTCTGTCAGGTCCTTCTTAGACATCCTCGCAGTATGTTTATTTATTTATTTATTTATTTATGTTTATTTATTTATATGTAGTATGTAGAAACTTCTCCTGCCTCCGCTGTTGACGAGACTTGCGTAGTTTCCCATGCTGCACGTCCAGCTCAGCGTCGAAGAAGGGCAGCGCACTAAGAGGTGGAAGTGACTCCTCCTCCTGCCTGACCTGAGAGCGAGTAACCACGGCACAGTTCAATGGAGCCTGAATCAAGTCAAACAGGACTGGTAAGTCACGACCCAACACCACTGGAAAAGGAAGACTGTTTAACACTCCAACTCTCAACAAATGCTCTTGTCCTTGAACTTCAACATACAGGTCGGCAGTGGTATACCACCGCTCATCGCCGTGCACACATTGGATAGAAATGGCGTCTAACACATTGACAAGGGAATGCAGGACCAGGGTTCTTTCCACTAGTGTCTGAACGCTACCTGTGTCAATCAAAGCTTCCACACTCCCCCCATTTACTTCCACTTTGGTAACTTGTTAGGGTAGAGCACACTTTGGGTTTTTCTTTTCTTTTGCTGGATCAACAAACAGTTGAGTGGTTTTAGCAGGGTTCTTGGGGCACATAGGTTTAGGATGGCCTCGCAGTCCGCACAAATAGCGGATAGGTTCTTTGTGATACTGTTTAGGAGACACCCCATCTGGGCGAAGGTCCCTCAAGGGACCCTTACCTGCCATAGCCATTGCTGGTTGGAATTGATGTTGTCCATATGGGGATCTCCGATTATCTTTCTCTTTGGAAGTCTTCCAAGCAGTGCAACTCCAGGGTTGTCCCTTGCATCTCCCTGCGACAAACACTTCCCGTAATGAGGCTGCCTTGGATGCAGATGGAGGGTCATGTTCCCAAACTCAAACCTGAAGCTCAGGGGACAGCATACACAGAAACTGCTCTAAAATAATTTAGCCAATGTCTTTAACAGTTTTACCTTGGGCGGATCCATTTCTCATAGAGCTCTTTTAGTCTGAAATATAGCTCTTAAGGAGTCTCACCCATTTCAAACTCTGTTGAGTGGAATCTTTGTTGATAAGTCTCTGGGTTGATGTCATTTTTTTGGAGAATAGCCCCCTTAACAGACTCATTGTCATGTTCTGTGTCCCTTTGTTCCCCAGCCCCTCCAGTTCCCACTCCAGGTTTTCCTCTTGTGTCCCATTATTATCCCCAGCCCTCTGTAGACTTCCCTCAGGTGTCCTTCTAATCATTCCTAGTCAATCTTAATTTAGTCCTCCTCATCCGTCAGTTTATTAGTTGTTTACTTTTGGCCCTCAGTCTTTATGTTTAGTTATCCGTGTTTTATAGTTTTAGGTTTATCTGCCCTCCTCTGGTTCTGTTCCCCATTTAGATAATTGTATGCACCTGCTTTCCCTCCAGCCCTCACTCCACACACCTGCTGCCTGTTTCCCTAATTGCTCCTCTCTGTGTATATAAGCCTTGTCTTGTCACTCTGTGTTTGTTGGATCATTGAATTCGTCAGCGTGTTTCTGTCCTCCTCGTGTCTTCCTGTTCCGTTCCCACGAATTAGTTTTCTGTTTGTTTTGGTAAGGTTTAGTTTGGTTCGTTTTTAGTGCCCTTTTGGATTTTGGCACCTCCTCCTGTAAAAATAAAGATCTTTTTTTTTTAAACTCCTCCTGCCTCGAGTCGTTCTGGGTTCTGCATTTTGGTTTCCACCTCCTCCGCCCTGATCGTGACACTCATAGTCACGTACCTCCTAAATGTCCATGTGTACATAGGCACTCCTGGCTTTCCCAGAGAGCAGTGGTACAAGGTGGAAAACCCAGTCAGCCTTCAGCCAATTACACAATGCAGCAATCCTCTCAAGAATGATTGGGAAATGTTCAACGTCATCAGTGTCTGTTAACTTTTCCAATCTAGGCTCTGAGAAGGAACGACACTGACCTGGAGAGCTGATGGTCTTGTGATCCTTGGCCACCTGTTCCTCGTCGCCTTGTTCCAGCTCCTCAGAATCAGATGTCCTGAGAGGGTGTGCCTGTAGCTCCTCTTGCAGATGACGAAATTGTTGTTGAAGCTCCCGGAACCTCTGTTCCTGATGTTGTGCCTCCTCCATCATCATGTGATTCTGGGCCATCTGTTGGCTCATGTGTGCCTGAAGCACCCCAAAAAGATCTGTTAATGTTGGCTCCCGGGATCCCTCCGCTTCCACAACTGCAGGGCCAGCAACCCCCTCATCACCAGAACTATCTGACTGCTTTCCCAGTCCAGCTGGATCCAAAGGCTCTACAGGTCACCTGCACCTGCCACCCTGCGTGGTTCCTTCCTCAGGCTTTCACAAAGGCAAAAATCCCACTTCCGACACCACTTGTCAGGAACTTGCAGAAACCAGCCAGAGAAGTACTGCTGATGGTTCTGAAAACTCCATTTTATTTTAGAGAAGCTTCAAAAATAACACGAACTGAACCTAATAAATATATCCATGTAAACTCAGGCTATCTCCTGAGACTAGATTAGTCAGAATGACGCCAGTAAAATGGTACATGGTAAATGGCCTGTATTTGATATAGCGCCTTCTAGAGTCCTGGAACCCCTCAAGGCGCTTTACAACACAATCAGTCATTCACCCATTCACACACACATTCACACACTGGTGGGGATGAGCTACAATGTAGCCACAGCTGCCCTGAGGCGCACTGACAGAGGCGAGGCTGCCGATCACTGGCGCCACCGATCCCTCCGACCACCACCAGCAGGCTACGTGGGTTAAGTGTCTTGCCCAAGGACACAACGACAGTGACAGACTGAGCGGGGCTCGAACCTGCAACCTTCCGATTACGGGGCGAGCACTTAACTCCTGTGCCACCGTCGCCCCAGTAAAAGACAAACATCATCAAGAAACTTTTAGACACACCGGGTTCTACTTAAATAACGGCTGATCAGACCACTCTACAAACAAGAGGGAAACATTTAACATCACACACACACACACACACACACACACACACACACACACACACACACACACTAACCCGTCTAATCAGTTCAGGTAACTCAAATAACTAAATCATAATTACAACCTCCCTATCCATAACAGAAAATATCTACATTAAATTAAACATAAACCCTCTCGTGGGAGTAGGTAGATCCCAGAAGTGCTGATCAGACTTCCTGAGGAGATGAGCTGCAGGCGTGTAAGGCCCTGTCCACACGTAGCCGGGGATCTGCCAAAACGTAGATATTTTTCTACGTTTTGGCCTGTCATCCACACGAAAACGGAGTTTTTTCACACGAAAACGGATCTTTTTAAAAACTCCGGCCAAAGTGAAGATCTGCGTTTTCTCCGTTTTGGGTGTCTGCGTGTGGACGGACAAAACCGGAGTTTTAAGGTCCGCAACGTCACTTTCCGTGACAAAAAAATGCTGACATCACGTGTGCGACCAGTGTTTACACTAGCCGACAGCATGGATGCCCTCAGAGCTGCGCTCTGTCAGTACCCGATCCATCAATTGTCCAAGCGCTTTCTGCTTGTTTGTTTTTGCAAGCGGAATTACTGCTCCTTGCGGAAGACCACAGACGAAGGACGAGGTTAAGAACGGGGGAAGTACTGCCGCCAACAGGTCTGGCATGTCCTTAACAACGTATTTATCCGGGTACGTGTGGACAGAGTTTTCTTTTTAAACGAGGTGGTGTGGATGCAAGTTTTTGGAGGGGCGGATATTCGTTTTTAAAAAACCCCGGCTACGTGTGGACTAGGCCTAAGACTTGGTGGGCAACTCCAAGTCACTGGTAACTCAAATAAAATGCTAAATCAACACATGCATTCATAAACATTAGAAGACTGATTGTGTGCACATCAACCAGTCATCCTATACAAAACACAGAAAACAAATAAACATTACCAGTAAACCACACCCCTGAGGTGACAGACTTGTCATTGACTTCCATTCATTTTTGTGGCTGATGTATGCCTAACCCATACCCAAACCCTAACCATAACCAATGGGGTTCTATTCCTAACCTTAACCCTCACTACAAGCTAACTCACACCATAGCTCTGAAACCAAGTTTTAGGGGGTTTTCTCTTGTGGGGACCAGCCAAACGTCCCCACAAGGTCAAAAGGACAAACCCAGGAAATTGTCCCCAGAAGGTAGTGAGTACACAGTCCACACACACACACACACACACGCACGCACGCACACACACATACACACACACACACACACACACACACACACACACACACACACACACACACAAACTTTTATCCTTATCCTCCGACATCAAAGAGCCTTAGGCCGTTTATAAGGGCACAGATTGTGACGGTAATGTGGCGCAAGTGTGTCCTTTTACAAAAGATGGCGGTCTCTGTGTTGCCACAGACTTCCATTTATCTTAGCCCTATCTTGATTTTTATTGCAATCGAATAACGTTTTTTTTAACAAGCCGCTCTTAAAGGTGACTGTCCTTTTGGGTCGATACGAGTTCCCCCGTCGAGAGCCGTCTCTTTTCCACCCAGGTGCGAGTTGGACCCATCCACTCTCAAAAAATGTGTTCTAACCCTTATCTTAGCCATAACCCTAAAACAAACACAAACATTGTGCTACACAGAGTAATTTCATACATTATAATTATGCTAAACACACGTTTCTGGTGACAGGGTGGTTATGGTTAGGGTGAGGGTTGTTTTTGCTGAGTGGTTGGTTCCAACTCGCAGGAGGGTGGAAAAGAAACAGATCTCGACAGGGGAACTCATATCGACATAACACCTGTTTGGTGTGTCCTCTAAAAGGGGCTTTATTTTTGTTGCCCCGCCCCCTCCTTACCTGTGATGCCTACCTCTAACCCAATTAACAAATTAACTATAGCCTTAAATTATGTTCCATTACAGGACTGGTCTTTGGGAGCCGTGGTTTTTAGTCTGTGATCCAGGCTGCAGCTCGGTTGGAACCGGCTTCCTGAGACGCTGCAGGTACACCACTCACCTGCTGAGCTATCAGAAGTGTAGATTAAGAGAGTGTGAGAAAGAAAGCAGTAATAATGACAGAATCAGTCACCATTTGAACTGAAATGACGACCAACAAAGACATCAGAGGGTTTTAAAACTGGAAAATGCATGTGGGAGCTGCTTTTTATTTACCTGATTAGTCCTTGCTACTGTTGAGCCGCGGCACTGACTGCCTCGCCTCCGTCAGGGTGTCCCAGGGCAGCTGTGGCTACATCAGAGTGAGAATGATTGTAAAGCACTTTGGAGTATTTGACTTAACAACACCCTCTAGTCAGTGTTGGGTAAGTTACTTCAAAACTGTAATGCATTATTTATTACTTGTTACCCTCATTTTAAAGTAATTCATTACATTGCAATATTACTGATTTTGAAATGTAAGGCATTACACTACTTTTGCATTACTTTAAGTTACTTTCACCAATATAACTTCAATATGAATCTGGTAATGTGACGCTCAGTGAGCTCATGATGTGGTGTCTGAGCTAGGTGTCATGGTCTGTGTCTGCGTCTTTTCCCATGTGTCTCCTGAGGTTCTCCATCCCTCTTTAGATTCTCCTTTTGTGAATATACCAGCGGCCGCGCGCAGGACGCAGCTGGAGTATTTGAGCCATTACCGCTGCATTCTCTCTGCTCATAGAATGCCCGCAAAGCTGAGTCCATAAATGATGTCATATATGTGGGTACTGGATCTTTTTTCAGGCTTCCCGCAATTTGAATTTTCAGGAAACCCACATCTTGCTTCTGGGTTTAAAAATGCGTTGTAATTACCGCGTTACTGACAATTGTACCGAGTAAATATTACCATTTTCTTTCCCTGTAATAATAATAATAATAATAATAATAATAATAATACATTTTATTTCAAAGCGCCTTTCAGGACACCCAAGGTCACTTTACAGAAAACACGTAATAAAATACAATAAAACAATAATAAAACCCAAACAAGAAAAAACAAAGAGAGAAACAGTTCAATAAAATCAGAGGTTGTAGGCAGATTTAAACATGTGTGTTTTGAGTTTTGATTGGAAAAGGGTAAAACTGTCGATGTTCCTGATGTCTGGGGGAAGTGAGTTCCAGAGACGGGGAGCAGAGCGGCTGAAAGCTCTGCTCCCCGTGGTAGCGAGACGGGCAGAAGGAACCGCAAGATGGATGGAAGAAGAAGATCTGAGAGAACGGGATGGGGTGTGAATACTTATAATGGTGGTAATGCCTTACATTACCACATTACAGCAAAAAGCAATGCATTACTTTTGTACCGCATTACTCCCAACACTGCCTATAGTGAGGTGCACCATTCTTCGTGTGTGTGATGTCTGCAGTGTGTTTATTGTCAAAGAGGTTTCACAATAAAAGATCCAAAAGGAATTCTGAGACACACTGATGATCAGTGAAAACTGTAAAATAGGAAGTATGATGATGTGTGGGTTAGTTAGTTTTTGGGTCATCAGTGGAGCCGGTGCTTAGTTCCATCATCTGTTAAGTGTCTGTGTTTCACCATTTCCCTTTAAACTCCCCGACTGTTTTACTTCCATCAGAAACCACTCGTCCCAGTGTCTTTACTCCACACCTCCTCTTGTTTTCTGTCGCTATGCCTGTGAGTTTCTTCAGGGAAAGAATGAGTGATGCATGGATTCAGACTCAGCCAAGTCCTGGATGTACATGTGCATTAATGTGGTTGTTTGAAGTGTGTCAGAGGAACATCACGACAACCTGCTGTGTTACAGTCAGAACCTTTTCATGTTCCTGAGACAGAAACATGCAGGTTGTTTTACAGTCGCAGGATAAATAAATGTTATCAGGACAGCCTGACGAGTTCACCGGGATGTTTACGCTGACCAAAGGTCTCCAGTGTGTGCAGAGTGGAGAACGGTGCAAAAGCAGAACAGCGTGAAGAGAAGGACATGTGTATGTATGTGCTGTCTTTTAACTTGAGACTAACCTGATGGTTTCTTCTCCTTTATCGGTTTCCCTCTAAAGGCCCACGGTCCCTCCCTCTCCAGACAGCAGCCTTCATAAGAAGCTCACCAGCAGCTGGTTCTGGATCAGAGTTCACCATGAACGGGGCCCAGCTCAGTGAACTCCCGGACAACTCGGAGCAGCTCCTGCCGTTTGTGGTGAGCCTGAGGCGGGCAGCCCAGCAGGCCGACCAGCGCTGCTCCATCTGGACCTTCTCTGATGGATTTCTCATCAAGTTTCTCCGCGCCAGAGACTTTGACGTAGCTCTGTCTCTGAAGGTACAGCACCACCACACAGCCTGCTACTGACTTTTTAATCATCGAAAACCACAGCAGGATACACACACACCTGCTTAGACTCTATTAAAACCTGGATGGTGGGAGCTTTCTACAGCTGATTGAAGATAAGACTGAGATCCTCAACTGTGCCCCAGACAAGCTGGTTCCCAAAGTCAGAGACTCTCTTGGTCAGCTTGCTTCTCACACCAAACCTCCTGTCAGGAATCTTGGCGTGACCTTTGACCCAGCTCTCACCCTGGATTCTCATGTCAGTTCTCTTGTTCGCTCTTCCTTCTTCCATCTCAGGAACGTTGCTAAGCTGAGTCCCATTCTGTCTCGCTCTGAACTTGAGACAGTTCTCCACACCTTCATCTCCTCACACTTAGACTACTGTAACTCTCTTTTCATGTGTCTGAGCAGAACCTCCCTGAACCGTCTACAGGTGGTTCAGAACGCCTGTGCTCGGCTTCTGACCAAGTCCTCCAAACACACCCACATCACCCCGCTTCTCCTCCAGCTTCACTGGCTGCCAGTCAACTTCAGGGTTCATTTCAAGATCCTGGTTCTGGTCTATAGGGCCTTACATGGACAAGCACCATCTTACATTGGTGATCTTCTTAGTCCCTACACCCCCAGCAGGTCCCTGAGGTCCAGTGATCAAAGCCTACTGGTTGTGCAGCACCAGGCTAAAGACCAAAGGTGACAGATCATTTGCTGCTGTGGCCCCCAGACTCTGGAACTCTCTCCCCCTGAGCCTGAGATCAGTGGACTCAGTGGTCTCCTTTAAAAAGCAGCTGAAAACTCACTTGTTCAAGCTGGCTTTTGTATGACCTTCTTCACCTCTCTCTCTTTATTCTGCTCTCCCCACCTGTTCCACCTTCCTCAGGATCCACTGATTTCCCTCTTTCCTGTTCACTCTCTCTCTTTCTTAACATTTTTAATCACAATTGCCTATTTTTTGCTCATTTTAAATATATTTGCAAACATTTTCTAAATTCTTTTTTGTATTTTTACATTTTTTGTTTTTGTGAAGCGCCTCGTGATTTTTATCTTGAGAGGCGCTATAGAAAAGATATTTTTTCTTCTCCTTCTTCTTAATGAAATGTCACTCTGACCCTTCTTCTTCTTCAATGTTCAGATCCTAAACCAGAGGTGTGCTCAGATGTGTTGAAACCGGGGGGCCCAGCCCAGAAATACTTAGAAAACATTACATTCGTTTTCAGTTATTGTTTATTCAGCTGTTTCAAACAAATGCTGGTTAACACACCAAATCTTCCTCTTCCTTCCTTGATTATTTTCAAATAACTTGTGATTCATAAAACATTTACATCTCAAGAGATGAACTATCTGAGTGGACACACAATAGACAACCTCTAAAAACCTGTTTAAAAACATATGAGCGTCTGGCAGAAACACAGCTGAAGGATGAGGAATCCCTCAGGTTCACGTTCAGGTTTAAGGAGGATTTAACTTCCAGTTTCTCTTAATGTGCTGAGGATGTTCTCCTGACTCTTATTCTTTTGTCTTCCACTCGGCCATGTCTCCTCATTTTAATAACAAAATGCACAACGTCCTGTTACGAACAGAGGCAGCGAGTAAAAATGTTAAAATGTGCCAAAATCCAAAGATCATTGACAGACCTTCAGATGGTCTGCAGAACTACTGACCAGACTGCTCTGACTCTTCAATGTCAACAGCAAACTTACAATAAATAACTTTGTTCTCTACTTTTATTACTCATCTGAGGAAACACAGTTTAGCTCTTTATTCAAACAAAAACATGATTTCATCTATTTTATGGTTCAGTCCATGTTTCAATTAGATAAAAGTGTGTGTGTGTGTGTGTGTGTGTGTGTGTGTGTGTGTGTGTGTGTGTGTGTGTGTGTGTGTGTGTGTGTGTGTGTGTGTGTGTGTGTTGCTGAATCAAATCAAATCAAATCAAAGATACTTTATTAATCCCAGAGGGAAATTAGAGTTTCAGTACACACAATTCAGAGATCAGACATACATGGGCAAGACACATGACAAGAATTGGTGACTGTGGTCATTCGCAACCCTGAGTCACGCTACCTTAATAGAGATAAGAGGGTTACATGAGGATTGGTTCAGGTGGAGGGAAAAAAGGCACTTCAGAGTTACCCTCCACCAGCAGGGCAGCTTTGCTTGGCAAAAAAACACCTCAGACAGAGATGCAACAGACTTCAGACAACAGAACACAAGTGTCAGCTAGGTGGGGTGGTGGGTTGGGACTATCCCCGCTTCAGCTCCTGCAGCCACGATAGAAGCAGCACATATCACCTCAGTGTGGATAGGGAAGGAGCATTAAGGGTTGGAGGGTTGCAGTGACCCTGGAACGTTTCAGCGGCCTTCCCGCAGTCCCACCCAGGCTGGGAAAGGAGGCAGAGTTGAGTTGCCATAGCGACGGCACATTCCACATATCTTCTGAGGGGGGAGTTTTCGTTGGAGTCTTGCAGGCTCAAGGACGCCAGATTCCGATTAGAAATTGTTTGGGGGCCAGACAGAGATAATTTCCTCTCTGTCTCACAGTTTGTTGGTCCTCAACCTCTCAAAATCCCAATAATGGACATTAATCTATCCCAATCCGTGCTGATTCGTCCACTCTCTCCTTGATGGCATCCATCTTTTGTGCCAATAATGAATCTCGGCCAAAGTCCCAAGCTTACGATTCATCTCAACAATTACGTGAGTCTGAATTCACATCGCGGTGCAAACCATCTCTGAGCTCCGGGATCAGGCCAATATTCCTCGACAGCTCGTTAATTTTCCGGTAAGCCAGGTAGCCTCCAATGCCAATGAGCAGGAAACCCGACACCAACACCACGAATATCCACACGTCTTCAGAGTCCTCCATAGACAGCTGAGATAAACAAATCAAGTTCCACTGATTTCAGGAGTCCAAGATGTGTCCAACTGGGTCTGTACCGGCTGGGCATCCGGGAGCCCCTTCTTCCGTTCTCATCGTTGAAAAAATTGTATCAATCGCGTTGAGAGACCAACTGACAAGATCAATTTGAGTGAATTTCAGTTTCCAGAAAAATGCAGAAGCAGCCGTGCACCCAGTACCCAGAGACAGACAAAGGGCCTTGAGGATAAGATATGGAGGAGAGGAGAAAAAGAAGCGTCTGCACCCGCCAAGAGTTGGAAGAAGAAAAAGAAAAAGCTGAGATGTTCTGCCCTAAGCTGGAAACAGAACATCTAAACTCCTTGAATAAGGACAAGTAGAAAACACAAGTTCAGCTGATTTAATCTCCAAGCAGAATTCATTAAAAATCATTACCTGTTAATACATTTGTGATCCTTACAACAACGTTTTATCAGAAATAATCCTTCATTCATAATAAGTTGTTGACGTTTGGATTTAAAATGGTCCCAAATACAGAAAAAAGTCATGTTCTTTACAGCAGAAAACCAAAATATCAGCTATGTAACAGATTATTCATTCAAGATCAAAACGGAACGGCTCAGAAAGAAACAAGGAATGAAACTCTCGATTTACCGGTCAATCTACATTCCCACCCACACCTACGGTCACAAGCTTTGGGTAGTGACCCAAATGAGTTTTCTCCACAGGGTGTCTGGGTTCTCCGTTAGAGATAGGGTGAGAGGCTCGGTCCTGCTGGAGGGGCTCAAAGTAGACCCGCTGCTCCTCCACTTCGAGAGGAGCCAGTTGAGAAGGCTTGGGCATCTGATTAGGATGCCTCCCTGATGAGGTCCGAGCACGTCCAACCTGGAGAAGACCCGGGACACGCTGGAGGGACTATGTCTCTCACCTGGCCAGGGAATGACTTGGGATTCCCCCAGAGGAGTTGGCCCAAGTGGCTGGGGAGAGGGAAGTCTGGGCCTCCCTGCTTAGGCTGCTGCCCCATGACCCGACTCGGATAAGTGGACGAGGGAGGATGGATGGATGGAATAAACAGTAAATTCTAACAGAACAGCATCATACCTGAGGGGTCATAATTTATGTGATCCGTTGTGCAACAGAATGATGAATGGGAGATATTTTCATATTTATTAGTTCAATCAAAATTGTATTTGTAAAAGTGCTTAACAGCAGCCAAAGCTGGGACAATGGTGACAACAAGAGTTAAAAAGTGAGTTGAAAGACTCTTCGTACAAATGTGGGTCCAGGAATCTGAAGATCTTTTAGAAAGGCCACCAAAACCCAGGAGTTGCTCAGTGAGCAGCCCATTCTGGTCAGAGGCCTTCAGCAGACATGACTTGAGCGATGACATCAGAGCGTAAATTTGAGTGTTTTTTGGTTGTGCTGTTTATGTATTTAAGATTCTGGGTCTTTGTTTTAATGATTGTGTCTGCATGCTGCGCCTCAGCTCCACAGAGTGACCAGCTTGTTTTATCCTCAGTGACAGCAACAATAACTCAGCCAAGCAGGTCAAAGATCCGCATCTGTAATCTAGACAGAGAATCTGACTTTTAGCACATAAAGCGTCTTCAGACATGATGGAGCAGCTGTCAGCGGGAAGGCTGCAGGCCAAGCCGGGGCCTTTCCGTGTGAAGGGTGCATGTTTTTCCCTCGGATGTGCTGTTGGCTTAGGGTTAGGGTCACTAACGCAGGATGCACTCATGGAATACGTGATGTGGCTTTTACAGCTCCTACTGAACTACCTGCAGTGGAGGAGAGCGAGTCCCGAGATCAGCAGCTGTCTGTCTCCCTCCTCTGTGCTTGGACTCCTGAGGGCGTTGTACCACGCAGTCCTCCCCCACCGGGACCACGTCGGCAGCAGGGTACTCATCTACAGGATCAGTGAGTATACCTGGGGTAGACGGAGCTCTGCTGTTACACACCTTCTTTGGTTTCTTATTTATCAACTGATCTTACCAACTGACAATGTGAGTTCCACTCAAATCTGTGTGCGAGTCATTTTACCACACTCACAATGCCTAGAGGGTCTGCCTCCACTGGGTCTGCCTCTTCCTGTACCTGGGTGAGTGGCTGCAGCCCAATCCTGCTAACAAATCCATATTCTGCCACGTGAGTACTGGCGGACCAGTAAAGACAACCAACACAGCACAAACATTGAAAGGTTTATTGATAGGGAAGTGAATGGAGACGGGAGCAAGCCATCAACGTAGTCAGGAGGCAGGCAGGAACGTTACCAGGAGATCAGACAGCAGGAATGTCCAGACGGGGTAATCCAAGACCGAGGTTGGGGAACAAAGCCAGGTCAGAGTCAATGAGGCAACAGGTAATCCAAAAGGGGTGAGACGAGGAGGGAGGTCAGAGGACGAGGCAAGGTCGAGATCCGCAGATGCGAGGTAAGTAATAAGGCTGGAGAATCTACTAGGGATGAAGCATTTTTGACGAGTACGAGCATGAAACGAGTAAAACTCGTAAATATCTGTAATCGTGCTGAAGGAAAATCCTCTTTGGGTAACTGACTGTCTTCACGCTCTGTGATTGGCCAGTCACATAGAGCGCCCGCCCCTCCCTACACACAAAACTCTGCAGCCGGGAGCTCACAGCTCAGTCCGCGTCCAGTCCATCCACGCACACACACACACACACACACACACGCGCGCACACACACACACACACACACACACACAGTAACGGATCTCTCAGTGCTTGCTTCACTGTTCACGTTTCTTCAGTACTCCCTATGTTTTCTTCAGTTTGCTTCTTTTTAAAGTAACTTTAAAGTTATTTAAAGTTACTTTTTTTCGTAACGTGCGTGGTGCATTTGACAAGACAGAGCCGAAAACGGCTCGTGCTGCGTCAGTCACTGCCTCCGCTCCGGTCGGGGTTTTTTCCCTCTCTCTCTCTCTCCTCTTCCTCAGGATCCACTCCCTCTTTCCTATTCACTCTCTCTCTTTCTTTACATTTTTTAATCACAATTGTCTATTTTTTGCTCATTTTAAATATATTTTAATCATTTTCTAAATTCTTTTTTCTATTTTACATGTTTTGTTTTTGTGAAGCGCCCCGTGATTTTTATCTTGAGAGGCGCTATAGAAAAGATCTTTTCTTCTCTCCCTCTCTCTCTTAATTCATGCACTTAAATATTAATGTTCTGATTTTTTTAAAAAACTTGTTCTGTAATAGTTCCTTTACTATTGTGATCAAAAACATTTAATCTCAACTCTGAGGCTGCTCTGTAAATAGTTTTCAAATAAACAATACACATAGCAACTTCTGATCAGACTTAAAATAACATATTGATGTAAACCACACCCACTTCCGGTTAAACTACACCCACTTCCGGGTTAGGCCACGCCCACTCCGAGTACAGATACAGATAATTTAGATGGTTGAACAGATACAGACACAGATAGTGGTGTACTCGCTCATCCCTAGAATCTACTGACGGGAGTGTTCGATAATCTGGCAGTGACTGGATGGCAGGATGGTTCTCACATATCAGGGGAAGCAGGTGAATGGAATGGGCTTGATGAGGCAGGAACAGGCGCGACGAATGAGGCTGATGAGGAGCAGGCTGTGGTTGCAGAAGAAACGGGGCGTGGCTGGAGCAGGAGCATGACACATTCAGGATGTTTCAGCTGAATGGAGACCTAACTTCTTTAATCGCTGTTTTTTACATATCTGCTCCAAGTGCAGCTGGAACGTTGTTGTTCTCTGAGCCTCTTTGGAACAAAAATCTGCGTGTTGCGTTCTGGTGGCTGTGGGAGATGATCTGTTTGGGGATGAGACAACAGAACAAATAGTACGAATGAGAGCTTTAGGTTTAGCTGGATTCATGTTTATGAACTCCTGCCTGCTGTTGTGTAGGAATGAAGGAATGGTTGTTGTAGACACTCTGAACATCTTCCATGTTCCTTAATCCAGAGCCTGATTATCTAGTCAGATGGGATGTTTAACACCGTACTAGCTCATCTACAGGTTTCTTTCCTACTTATCCAGGCTCAGGTCGTGGGGGCAGCAACCTAAGCAGGGAGGCCCAGACTTCCCTCTCCCCTGCTACTTGGGCCAGCTCCTCCAGGGGAAACCCAAGGCATTTCATGGCCAGCTGAGAGACATAGTCCTGGGTCTTTCTTTAGGTCTCCTCCCAGTTGGACATGCCCATGAAACCTCCCCAGGGAGGTGTCTTGGAGGTATCCTAACCAGATGCCCAAGCCATCTCAACTTGCTCCTCTCCATGTGGAGGAGCAGTGGATCTACTCCGAGGCCCCTCCTGGATGACTGAGCTTCTAGCCCTATCTCTAAGGGACCCCAGCCACCCTGTGGAGAAAACGCATTTCAGCCACTTGTATCCACAATCTCGTTCTTTCGGTCACTACTCAAAGCTCGTGACCATAGGTGAGGGTAGGAACGTAAATCGACTGGTAAAATGAGAGCTTTGCATTCCAGCTCATCTCTCTTCACCACAACAGGTCGGTACATCACCCGCATCACTGCAGAAGCAGCACTCACTTCACTCATGAACAAAACCCCGAGGTACTTAAACTCCTCCACTTGAGCAGAACCTCTTCCTCTTCCGTTTGGACTGTCTGTACCCTTCAGCCGCTTCTGGAGTCCCACAGGCCAAAAAAAAACCCTGATAGGACTCTTTCTTCAGCTTGACAGCATCCCTAACCAACTGGCCACTGGCCCACTGACTGCGGACGCAGCTCCGATTGGCTGCCTCGACAATGGAAGCACGGAACATGACCCACTCGGACTCAATGTCCGCTGCCTCCTCCGGAACATTTGGAAGCTCTGTCGGAGGCGGGAATTGAAACTTCTTCTGACAGGAGACTCAGGCAGACGTTATCAGCAGACCCTCGCGATACATTTGGGCCTGCCAGGTCTGACCAGCATCCTCCCCCACCATCGAAGCCAATTCATCACCAGATAGTGGTCAGCTGAGAGCTCCACCCCCTCTTCACCCGAGTGTCCAAGAAACGCGTCCGCAGATCAGATGAAATGACAACAAAATCGATCATATGCCAAGATCACATATGGACACCTTTATGTCTGAACATGGTGTTCATTATGAACAATCCATGACGAGCACAGAAGTCCAATAACAAAACACAGCTTAATTCAGATCAGGTGACCGTTCCTCCCCACCAAACCTCTCCAGGTCTCACTGTCGTTGCCCACATGAGCGTTAAAGTCCCCCCAGCAGAAACAGGGAGTCACAGGAAGGAGCGCTCTCCAGCACATCCTCCAAGGACTCCAAAAATGGAGTCTGAATTATAGTTTGTTGCATAAGCACAGACAACTTTCAGGACCCGCCCCCCCCACACCCTCTCGTTCACCGGGGAAAACCCCATAGTGCAGGCACCAAGAATGGGGGGCAACTAGTCTGCCCACCCCTGCTCGGCTCCTCCCAGTGGGAGCAACTCCAGAGTGGTTGAGTGTCCGACTTGAGTCATGAGTGTCATTCAGAACCCTCGTATCCGGAGAGTCAAGTCTGAGTGGGAGATGATGGTTTGCTCCTAACTGATCAGAGTAGCTTCATAACCACATGAGACGCCATATTGTCGCATCCACATACCCCCAGAATTGAGACCTCCGTACAGATCCAGATGCCAGGTCCACAGACCCTCCTCTGGTACTGGAGCCGATGAAACAGCGTCGACAGTACGGCAAACCAGTCTTTGGACAGTCTCCAGGTAAAAAGCGACAGGTGGTTCACAGCATCAAAAGGGGACCCTCCTTGGGTCAGCGAGTTCAGCTTTTATTCTGAAAGGCAACGTTGCTTGGTTGGTAACAAACAACAGAATTTTCCCAGCTTGATGGTTCTCAGCTTAAAAAGAGAAGTACAGAATGGCCGGTCCAATACTTCACTTAGCATGTGATGAACAATAGAGTTATTTGATTTAATAAAAGAAAAGAGTCTCTTCATCTTCTGTCTTCATTGCTGGAAAGTAAACAGTTTAGAAGCAAATGCATGACCTTGAGGCTGTTTCATGCACCTGGCGCTGTGTCAAAGGCAACTGTGGATAGAGGATAAATAACCTTGAGGAACAGCTCCTTCATCACGTTACACTGTAGAGGCTACAGGATGAAACCTGCGTTTATTTATTCTTAAGGAGCACCAGATGTTTTAACAACAACGGTTATTAGCCAACAAATAATTTGTAAGCTTTACCTACCGTTTGGATTCATCAATAAAATTCGTAAATATGGAAATATTTACCAATTTATTACGTAATTAGGATATCCGTGGATATGCCTCGGGGCACCACCCCTTTTTACAGGGAAAAATGAATCCAAACCTCTATCAATCTGTCTAAAGTTCGTAAAATTCTTTTAACGAGCAGCGGTCATATTCTATCCAGCACAGACAAATTCACTTGAGACAAAACTTAATTGGTAATAACATTTATTAACTAATATAATCACCTTAGCTCCTTCAGAGCGCTAGCCAATCAATATCAACCAACTGATTTTATCAGACAAACAACAAGCAATGAAAACATGGAATGATGATGTGAAGTAACAATCTAATCAGACCGGTGGGGTGGGATGATGATGTGATCAAGCAATGGTGAGGCTGCTTGATGATGTAATCAGGCAGAGATAGGCTGATTACCAAACTGGAGGGAGTTTTGAAAACAAAATGGCGGATCCTTTGTTTGGCTGAACCAAGGATCGAACTGTGTGTGTGTGTGATTTAGCTTGTCTTCCCAAACACGCACAATCAGTGGGTGTGAGACCCTGATCAGATGCGTATTTGACGGTGTGAGCAAATGTTCACAGTAAACTTAATCAAAACACTTCAAATCGCTTCACAAAGATCAAGAAACAAAAACAACAGATCAGTCATTAAGGCAAATTACATATCTAAACAGTCTGTCAGCCTGGCCACAGCATAAACAAACTTAGATATTAAACAATAAAAGAAACGGAGCTTACTTCGAGATGGTCCGTTGACGCTTTTGGTACGGAAGAGAGAGACCGTCTGTTAATTTAAAGCAGTCACGTGGTCGACCGCTTGTTTTGGACTATTAGAGAAGCGGGAGAGAAAAAGAGATATAAAAATGAAAAAAAAAGAAATCTTGAATGAACGAACACAAGGCGTCCCTCAGTGTCCGGGGCTGAGCAGATCAGAAGGCGTTGGTCCGTTGATCTCAGCAGCTAGGCCTCATGCACACGCTGTCCGGAGCGGTAGGAGCAGATGAACTGGACGGGAAGAGGGCGATTTCCGCTCTGCGCCTCGGCTTTATAGACTCGTCCAGCGGGCGGTCCCTGTATGGGCCGCTATCCACTGGCGGCGTGTCAGACTTGGCGTCACTTGATGACGTCATCAAGCTGCTGCCGGCTGCAGAGGACCATGGGACATGGACAGAGGCGGAGCTGGCCTAAATGGCGCCCTGTGCGAGATCCCCCGTGACGCCCCCCCCCCCCCCCCCCCCCCCCACACACACACACACAAACACACACACACACAAGAAAAAACATTACACCTACAACTTAGTTTCAAATGGCGTGGAGTGTATTATAAATAACAACGTTTGCTAACTGAATACAACATCCAGCTCCTGGCCACCTTCTCACCACTTGTCAAAGTTCTACTGAAAAAGTGATGATGACAACATCTGCCATCGCCTTCATTCCTGGGAAATATGAAAGTAGTTGGCACCTTAGTAGGTCCTCTTCGAACTAGCTCTGTGCGTATGCTGTCTGTAATTGGTGATGGCCACTTGGCTGGGTCTGAAGAAAGAGGCTCATCATCACCTTCAATGGGACTCACTGGTTGATCGTTCAGGCTTCTCTATTGACAGAAAACAGAAGCGTAACTCAACACATTGCTATGTGGACCATTTCACATATTCTATTAAAATACAATATGTGACATTCAAATTTCTCTAATGTTTGCAGGACACACACACACACACACACACACACACACACACACACACACACACACACACACACACACACACACACACACACACTTGTGCAAAACTTACCTGACATATCTTGTTGGGGAGATGTGGCAGCGGGCTGTCCCTCGTCAAGTTCACATATACTGGTAGGTCTCTCTATTGACAGAAAATGGAAGCATAACTCACCACATTGCTATATGGAACAATTCCCATATTCTGTGAAAATACTATTTAAATGTCTATAGCTAAATGTTTGCTGGACACACACACGTGTGCAAAACCCACCTAAAGTATCTTCCTGGGGAGATGTGGTGCCAGCAGACTGTCCCTCCTCAAGTTCAAATACTGGCCTACTGGTATGAACAGTGGAGGTAGATGGCTGTTCCTCAGTGGCAGCTGATGCCATCCCAAAATATCTGCGTAGGGCTCCTGATGTTGCATAAAACAAACAATACAATCTTCATGTCACGTCTGTTGCTTAAGCATTTTAATTAAGATGTTACAATGAGCATTTACAGTTTTCAGCAGTGGTGGAAAGAATTCTGAAAATCTGTACTCAAGTACAAGTACTGTTACATTGCTAAAATATTACTCATTTACAAGTAAAAGTACTGGTGTTAGAGAACTACTCAAGTAAAAGTACAAATTATTCATAAAAACCTCAGAGTATTATTTATTTTTAACGGCTGATGTCACCATCACTTCTCCAGACTGGGGCTGCCTGGAAATTGTGTGTTTTCCTTTACCAAAAGTTAAAACACCAACAATCTATTAATCATTAATAATTGATAAAATACAAAACAAGTGTTTTTCCCTCTTTTTTTTTTTGTCATTTTAAGTTTTTATTTCCTTATTCAGCAAATGTCTCCGGCACACAAAGAACTAAATGACCAGAGGAGCCACAACTATTGATTAAATATCCATGAATCCATTTTAACTGGTTAAATTCTTCAACTCTCCCACGCTGCTTCAAGGTCAGTGTGAGTTAACATAGCCGCGGTGTGCTGTGCAGCACACAACGCAACACGATGACATCATCGACTTGTACAGTGCTGAAAGGCGAGACAGTCTCAACTTTCAGCTAAAAAAAGACCGCTCTAGCTATTATAGTTTTTATTTTATGTCAGATTACAGTATAAACGGGATCTTACTAGCAGGGCACCTCCAGCGGCCCGCTGCCGCTCCGTTTTTCGTGGGGTAAATAATACGTAGCTCATTTCCCGAGTCCAAATAGAAAGGCGAATGGCGCCAGCGCGAGACCTGCCGCCCGCCGTCAATGTATTTCAGCAAAATTCTCAAAGACTCGTTTTAATTTGATAGCGTTTTGTTATCAGCCTTTCGGTTTTCCCACTCTTAGCTTTTCATAAAAGCTCATTTGACAAAGAAAAAGCTAGCGGTTGGAAGTAGTTCTAAATACATGCAACGTAAGAAGCTAGCAAAAGACATTTGAAGGGATCATCATAGCACCATGCAAAACGTTCAGATTAGAGAGGTTAGTTAGTCAATAAGTTGGGGGACAGGCGGGAAAAATACCAACTAAATAATAAAGAGATGCATACCTGCATCTTTTCCTCGTTTCTCCTCCTCTTCTTTTCTTTTTTTCCGAAATTGGGCACCTGATGGCTTCGACCGCTTCTTCTCCATTATGTTTGTGAGCGGTGATATGTGAAACGGTACCTGTATCCTTCCATCATCACTCTCCGAGATCCCTCCGCCCCCCACCTGATGAAGGGCGCTATAGAGCGCACTACAGAGGTGCGGCGGACACAAGGGGCGCAATAAAATCCCAATATAAACGCAAACAATGACTTTGTTGTGCTTTTATTACAGAAATATTATTATTATCATCACTCATCACTATTATTATTATGAAGAACATGTGATTTCTATGTTTTGTTGATGTATCGGTTGATGGAAGAAAAAAAAAAGAAAAAAAAGAAATTAAATGGCGCCCCCTCCAGACTGCCGCCCTGTTCGGCCGCACATGTTGCACATATCAAGCTCCGCCACTGGACATGGAGTCCCTGCTGGCGCTGATATCAATATCCTTTATCATCCACGCTTCAGGGTGTAGATGGCACAGTCCTTTGGAGAAAATACTGCGTAGTAATTTTCTTATGAGGGCAGGACCCCAACACAGTCAAGAAATTAAGCTACAGTATAACATCAATATTTACCTAACAACTTACGACTTGACTCGGACTTGAACGCCAATGACTTGAGACTTGAATCAACTTGCATCTGTTGACTTGATGATGACTTGAGCTTATTTGAAATTTTTGCACAAAAGTGGCACGACATGGACAAAAATCATGAATCTCTCATGGTTCTGGGTGTGATCTTGTTCTGCTAACTGCAGCAGCACTTTGTTTATAATCAGTTTCAGTTACACTTTCTGCTTGTTTGAGTAACTAAATGAAGCTTTAAGAAACTTCAATTCTGGGATTTATTTATCATCATTGTCATGAAATTGAAGTTGGACTGGTCACTTGATTATGACTTGAAAATTCAAAGTTAAGGACTTGGACTTGACTTGGACTCCCACATCATTGACTTTGGACTCGACTTGGACTTCCACATCATTGTCTTTGGACTTGACTTGGACTTGACTCGAGACTTGACTGGAAAGACTTGTGACTTACTTGTGACTCGCAAAGCAGTGACTTGGTCACACCTCTGTTGAGGTGAGTCCGAGTCGAAACCTCTCAACCTCGCATACCAACTCAGGATGAGCGGCAACAGTTTCTGTCAAGTTTTTTTTCACTTCTTGGCCTACAAATAAATTCTGGAGTTCCTTCTTTCACCTTCGCTCCATTAGTACATCATTGTAGAGACTGATTAGAAGCACACTGCCACTGTGACCCTGTTGACCTGCCCCCCACCATCATAGCAATGCACCAATAACACAGATCTAGGTGCTTTGACACTCACTACCTTTACCTACACAACTGAGGACCTGTAAACCATTAAATTAACTGTTTGTCTGCAGGTCAGTGGAATCCAAAGGAATGGTCGGTCTTCCAGGTATTCAGAGTCAGCCTGATGACATCAGAGATCATCTGCATGGAGACAGAAACACAAAGACGAGGACTGAAGACCATTTTTGACCTGAAAGGGTGGAGTTTGAGCCATGCCTTGCAGATTAATCCCTCCCTTGCTAAAAAGATATCCTCTATACTCTCGGTACGACTTAGGTCATGCTACATGAATGTCACCTTAAACAGGCTTTCTGCTGAAGAATATGGAGGAGACGATGATACAAAACTCACTGGGGCTTTGTTTATTAGCTGTGACCTTGGAAAACCTTGGGATCACCCAGAAGTGATTGAAGGGTGGTGGGAGAGGAATGTCTAGGTTTTCTTCTGGACCCTGTTACCTCAAAGACCCAACCTTGGATTAGTGGAGGAAAATTAATGCATACATTTATAATAATAATAATTATTATTATTATTACATTAGTGATCTCCAGCTCCTTCCCTCCTCCTCATAGAGTCTCTAACGCTCAACAGACTTATGCATTTCCTTAATACTTTGGCTGCTACTGTATGTAACACGTGATACTTTTGTTAGTTATTTCTTCCTACAACAATATTTTTTAACTTTGCGTTGCTAGACGACACACCTATATGTGACCGTGTTTGTCTTTTCAGGACTCGTTTCCATTAAAAGTAAAAGAAATCCATCTGGTCAATGAGCCGATGCTCTTCCGTCCGGTTTTTGCGATGATCCGCCCGTTCCTGCCTGATAAAATAAAACAGAGGGTGAGATTCAGCATCCGCTTTATTACATGGTTACAGTTAGTCATCTCTGTTCCACTCTTCCAATTCTCTCTCAAAAATATAAAATTATGATTTAGAATTTTGTTGAAAAGTGAAAATAAAGCCTTCTCTGTTACAGGTCCATATGCATGGAACGGACTTCCACAACTCTTTGAGCGATTTCTTCCTGCCTCGTGTCCTGCCTCCAGAATATGGAGGGGAGGGACTAGGAATTGAAGAAGCGTGTCAGGACTGGACCCATCGCCTGCTTCAGTCTGAGGACATTCTGAAGCGGATAGCTGAACACCCAGTTGGGGACATTTACACCGGTCCTTGTGACTCCTCTGTTACAGAAGACGTTGACAGTGAACAGCGTTCTAAAAGATGACGTTTGAAGCTCCTAGACACATAAGGTGGACGAGAGGGTTTAACCCTCCTCAGGGTGCTGGTTGACTGTGGCGGGCTGTGCACGTACTATTATGCGAAGATCACATTTACTTTTATACCACCCGCCCCTCCGGCTGCGCAGTGGCACAGTGGTTAGAGCTGATGCCTTGCAGCGAGAAGGTCCTGGGTTCGCTTCCCGGCCTGGGATCTTTCTGCATGGAGTTAGCGTGTTCTCCCTGTGCATGCGTGGGTTCTCTCCGGGTGCTCCGGCTTCCTCCCACGGTCCAAAAACATGACCGTTAGGTTGATTGGTCTGTCCAAATTGTCCTTAGGTGTGTGTGTGATTGTTTGTCCTGTGTGTCTCTGTGTTGCCCTGCGGTGGACTGGCTCTGTGTCCACGGTGTACCCCACCTTATTGCCCATTGACCACTGGGGATAGGCACCAGCCCCCTCCCCCCACGACCCTACATGGACAAGCGGGTTCAGACAATGGATGTATGGAGGACCGCCCCTCCATACAATGGTCAACTTTCTGATTTTTTTTTTGTAATAATTTTCTAAATAACTAGCTGCAGGTGTCTAGTATGCACATGGTGTCCTAGCATTGGTCCTGACTCTGGATAAAGGTAGCCGAGTTACTCTGATGGGCTGGAGACCGGTCCAGGGTGTCCTCCACCTCGCGTTACATGACTGCTGGAGTTAGATACCAACTACCTGAGGCCTTCCTGAGGAAAACGAGCTTTACGAGTTTAGAAAAGCTGAGGGAAACACTACTTACTTGTACGTTGAGTTTGTCGCCATACATAGAAGAAAAACAAATCTAATTCATTCAATGACACTTTTTGTCTTAAATTAGAAACGTTAACCCATTGTAGACTTTAGACAGATCTTTGTGAGATAATTTCTGTCCTTAAAGCAACACTAAAGAGGTTTAACACTTTAAGCTATGTCTTTTAAACTGGTTTCAGTGATTCTTGAGCCATAAACTTGAGTAACATCTGGATAGCGCTCTGCTGACCAGAAACAGCACCTAACAGGTTTATGGTTTGGGTAGAAACACTAGTGGTAGGTCTCTACCTGCTTTAGTGCAATAGCTTACTGTGCTGGTAGATAACATAAAGGTTAGCAGTAAGTCTTTTAGTTCACCGACCGTCAATGAAAAGCACAAAAAGATGAATTTTTCATTTTTTGTTGGCATCATAGCAGGGCCTGGAAGTAAAAGTACGAGAGCAATGTCTTTGGAGGTGAAGCAAAGAGCAAAAACTGGAGTGACTCCGGGTTTTTGGAGCTGAAGGAAGCTACAAAATCATGAAGTGATGGTGACCTGGCTTTGTTGCTACTGGACTTGTAATTATTTTGTTTTGTCAAACACTGTGGATTTTTATTACTTTGTGGTTTATTTTAGTATCAGTGGACTTGTGTTAGCGTTAGCTTGTTGTTAGTGCTAGAAGTCAGATGGAGTATCAGGTACATTATCTGCTACTCCCTGGTGGAGGATCTACAGATGGTGAGGGCCAATTTTATTGGATTCTGCCCTTGAAATACAGTCAATGCATGTTTTTATTACTGTTACAGGGTTAGGGTTATTAAAATTATACATATTATGCTATGCCTCATAGCATAACTTGTTAGAAAAGCTTTGACCTTTCTCTCTCTGCCGCTCTGCTCACAGGAACGGTTTCCTCACAAATGCGGCTTCATTTAAGTGGTAACAGACTGCCTTTTGAATGACTTTTATTTTCTTTTCTTTTTTCGTGTCCTGTCTGGCTGTGAAGCAAGCAGAATTGATGTCTGAATGCTGGTGACAAGCCTTACAGATTTACTCTCAGGTGGAGCATCAAAGCGTCTGCTTTTAATGATACTTAAAACTTTATTGTTATTGTTGTTGAATGCTTTGTAATTCCGACCAGACACGGAGACAGAGGTGAAAGAGAAAGGAAAAGAAAAGGTGGGGAGAGAGGAGGGGGGGTCCACAAAAACAAACAATGAACAAGAGTCTGCTTCTAGACCTGCAGAAAAAGACAAAAAAAAGCAAAAGGACAAAAAAAAAAGGAACACAACAACAATACAACAAGATCTAGCTATCACTGCGTCAACTTGATGAAAAAATATATAATCAACATTGCTTAACTGAAGAATCACGATAATAAATCACAGTGCATTAAGTGCCCACCATAGTTTTAAGACCTGTGTTGAACGTGCCCAAGCCCATACTTTTGAGAGCACCATGTGAGCACCTGTGTGTGTACACGCGCTTGTTTATGTAAGGTTTCTCTATAGGAGCGTCCAACAGAGAGTGTGAGGGACCACAGATCCGCCCCCAAATATGCGCAGGAGACGGGGGGAGCTCCAAGTCCCAGAGATCCAGGCGCTGCTCCAGAACACAGGAACCCCAAGGAGACTGCAACCAGAAAGGCCCCCGCCCCCCTCGAGAGGCGCAGAGGATCGCCCCGGGGGGCCACAACCAGCAGCCGGCAGAGTCCCTGGAGACATCAACGGCAAGCCCACAGGCCCGCCCGCAGCCCCCCACCCCCCCAGCCGGCCGAGCCCGGGACCCAGGGGCGACCACCCCTGCCGGGGACCCAGCAGAGCCCAGGGACCCAGACCCCACCAGGACCTACCAGGCAGATGCCAAAATCCCAAACCCCCAGACCCGGTTGCCACGAACACTCAGGCAGACCAAGGCACAACCCCCCACACCAGGCGTGGCAGGGGGAGGGGGGACGAAGATCCACATCATCAAGAGAAGCAGCAGTGCCGGGACCGGAGTGGGTGGGGTGTGTATGGGGAGCATGAGTGGGTGTCCGGCGTGCATTTTTGTGAGTCTTGGGTTGTGTGTGCGTGTGTGAGCGTGGGGGAGGGAGTGTGTGACTGTGTTTGTGTGTGGCTGTGTGTGTCGGGTGGGGCCTTTGGCTCCTCCCCTCTCCTGGAGCTTCTCTTGATGATGTGGATCTTGAATGAATTTGTTACAACATAATGACTGATCAAACACAAACTTTCTGAGGTTTAGTGCATATTTTTCTAGATGAGGATTGAGCCACAAAGGTGACTCAGACATTTTTTAACAAATATCAAACTTTGATAAAGACGAGTTTGTGTTTTACTCAAGGTAAAAGATAATAAAATGATGACCACAACTACAGTTCAGACCCACTGAATTCTGGATGCTCGGCTTTCTTTCAGAAAATATTTCATCTGGAGGAATAATCCACGGATTGAGGCTTCCAGAGTCTCACGATTTGGCTGTGAGACTCTGCCTCACATCAAATATCCAGACATGTAGACATGTTCTGTCAGAGAAAATCATCCTTAGCAGCTGGATAAACTTTGAAAGGACTTTATGGTCTGACCACCAACATGCTGGATGGGACAGGATGGTTTTTTATGATCTCAGCTTGGGGAACGTCTTCCGTTATGCTTCTAAGAAATAATAATGGATTAGGTTTAGAAAGTGCTTTTCTAGGCTTTCCATTCTCCACACACTCGCACATGGCAACACAGACCAGAAACAAGTGTGTTTAAAGCGTTTACATTGTTTGCTTCAGACGTGCAAGCCTAATTAATATACACATTTTGTTTTTAAGAAAAGAAACTTGTCTTATGAATTATAAAAATGGGCTTTTCTAGATATGTAAAGTACAATAAGCTGTTTTCTAGAAGGCAGAAATTAGAACACTCACAGGACAGTTCACACGCACACATGCACACGATAATCAATAACCAGTTAAATCACTAAGAGAGCAAGTGGCATGGTATGTGTGTGACTGGTACGTTTACTGGTAAATTTACTCTGAAGAATTAACATTTTAGGTTGCCCATTTGAACGAATTTAAACTTAATATACAAGTAAATAGTAAAAAAAAATGTTGCTGATCAGCGGTGCTCCCTAAAGGTGCCTCCCCAGGGAAGACTCCCCTCACTTTATTTGATCTTATTCATGTTCGCACAAGCCACACATCCATGTACTTTAATCAGGACATCAATGTAAAACCCAATAAACTAACATGTAATCAATAAATCAGAATTTAAAACCAAACACGTTGCTGCTGCTGCTGCTGCTCACCTTTTTCAAAAAGTATCAATATCAAGTTTTTTGTGGACGCTTTGTTAAAGAGCAAGTCAACCCCTACCAGAGTCTAACTCCACTCCCACTTCATGTTTGAAAAATGCAACACATGCTGTTGCCTGGCAGACCGAGAAGGCGGAGCTGCTAACAAATACACACACACACAGGCTCACCACAGCATTGTGACATCATAATGTACCAGTTGACATCATAGTAGGGTTGTCACGGTAACCGGTATAGCGGTAAACCCCGGTAAAAAAGTTGACAATAAAAATAACCGTCCAGTTTTTAAAAAACTATATTATCTCGGTGGGTTTACCGTGGCCGCGGTTTCGGCGCGATGACCCTTACCAGCCACCGTCGCTTCAGCTGAAGTTCCCGCTGCGCGCACACGCACTTTTTAATTTGCAACGGCACCAAAACTTTGAAGCTGAAATAATGGCCGAAGGAGGCGACGGCAGCGCCCAGGACATCCATCAGCCCTCAAAGAAGACTAAATCGGAAGTATGGGCATATTTTGGATTTCTGAAAAATGCTGAGGGACAGTTAATAGAAGACTGCTATCCCGTTTGCAGAACGTGCCGGAAACAAGTGTCTGCAAAAGGCAGCAACACTTCAAATCTCATGGCACATCTGCGTGACGATCACCCACGTCTCCACAGCCAGTGCAAGGTAAGTCAACATGAGCATTTTAGCTTAAATGCATGACGTGAGGACTTTTGGTTGAGGGAGAATGCAACGAGTCACTATATGCTGCAGCCGCAGCGTCCTCTGCCAGCATTCAAACCGCGTCACGGACACCCTGTTGCTGGATGAAGCATCTTATTTGTTGATGATGAAGAGAAATATACAATTAGTTCCTTGTCATTGATTTGTTTACTTATTCAATGCCATTTATACTTGAACATTTGGATTTGATTACATAGTGTAGTAGTTATTTTAGTAATTTGTTTAAAGTGGCTATTTATTTTAAATACATATTTTTTTAAGGTTGACTTGTACAGCGCTCAAGTCAAGTGTGGACTGGAGTTTTAGATTTTCATTTTGATAATGAAGAAAACAAGTATATGAGAAAACAAGTGGTGTTTCTTTGATTTGTTTACATATTGTTTATGTTTTGAATGTTTGGATTTGTATAATTTAAACCTGCACTGACTACTGTAACATGTTCCAGAAAAATAAGCTATTTGTTCCTTTACTTGTGAAAAGTTGCACTTTTGCTAAGGCTTTGTGTTATTTTAGGTTTCATAAACACTGTTAAACCTTTTCAGAACTATTTCAGTTTGTGTAGAACAGGACTATCAATGCTTTCTGAACATATGCAACACCGTTTAAAAAATACCGCGATAATACCGAAAACCGTGATAATTTTGGTCACAATAACCGTGAGGTTAAATTTTCATACCGTGACAACCCTACATCATAGCATACCTCTTAGCCAACAGCGGTGGCAGATTTAAATTAAAATACGGTGCAGAGTTTTTACCCGACAACGGCACAGCACTGCCAGTTTTAGGCAGAATATTTAAATTTTAACTAAGATGCACTGAAGTACCAAATCATTGACGACACGTGTCTGCAGCACGATTAGACACTCGTTTATTTAGTTTATCAGCAAAAAAAAGTTAATTTGGGGGTGACTTGCTCTTTAAAACAGCTGAATTTGTCTGTTCTAAAATGCTGAAACACTTGTTGAAACGAAGATTATAGAAGGACCTGAAATGTTTCCTATTAAATTGTAGGTAAATGTTTTAACTGCATATTGCTTTTAAATGAAAAAGAATGAAGGTGCAACGCACAGCTAAAGGCTCCAGTATCCCTCCCACTGTCTTCATGGGTGACCCCACCAGGAAAGTTGACCGTTGAGCAGGGTTGATGGTTTATTCCTTGAGGTCCGCGTGGCACGTGGACCTCAAGGAATAAACCATCAACCCTGCTCAACGGTCAACTTTCCTGGTGGGGTCACCCATGAAGACAGTGGGAAGGGTATACAACTTGATGTGCCATTCTAGTATTTCCACTGCCCCCCCCCCCCCCCCCCCCCCCAGTGAAAGCTTTCTGAGGTGCCCCAGCATGGAGACTGTGAGCAGTGTCACGTGGAGCTCTCAGGCAGACCCTCCTGTTGGCGTCCTAAAGACAAACGTTAGATTCATCAGTACTGTCAGCTTCTTATCCAAACAGCAAAGGAAGACAAAAAGTTTAGAAACAGAATTTCTTTTACTACAAACCCTAAACGGGTCGATGAGCCAGGCACCGGTGTAGCATCACACTGCTGCCGTACATACAAGACAACAACCATAGCACAGTCACTGGTTACATAATGCTGTTGGTCCGCTTGAGTCACCAATGTTGACCGTAGATACGTAGAATCAGGAGTTCCTGGCGAGGCTGCCGCTGGATCAGAACTCTGTAGCTTTGGCGCCGAGAGCAGGTGGATAACCGGGGAAGGCCAACTGTTATCTGGGTTAGTTTAGGAGTTTGCAAACATAAAATTTAAGCGTCATCAGTTCTCCTTCCTCACCTCTGAGATGTAAAACTGGATCTGCTTCACATCGTTTTTATTAAACATGAATACAGAAATGCTGATTATTACAAGCCAGTGATCATCAAAAGTCCCTTTAAACGAAAACGTCTGGCTCGTGAATTTAAGTTCAGTTACGTTGGTCCAAATCTGCCGAGGGGACGCTTCATCCGTCTCTGGTTTGGTCCATTTGGTTCCACCGGGTCTCAGAACCAGACACAATCTCCTGCGTGTCACAAGCGTGTTTTATTACGAAGAGGAGGGGAGTCTGATGCGGCCAGACTCATCCCAGCTGTGCGTGGTGGTTCTGGACACCTGAAGGATTTCACCCGTCTGCCCCGTCTTCACCTGGGCGCTCTCCGCTGTCACGTGGAATGTCGTGACTGTCCCGACCTTTACTAGCGCGAACTCGCCGAGACAAACATCCTCATCACACACACGTACACACTCAAAAGGGATGAGCAGCTGACAGGCAGCATGTTTCTCAGCAGACTAAGGTGCACATTTGGTCACGCTGTCCTGAGTTCACACACGTCCCACATCTGATGCCCACGTTACAATCGGAGATGAATATTGCTCCTAATGCAAAAATGGCTTTTTCATAATCAACATGAAACCTGAGGATGCTGACTAAAACGGTCCAGACAGGCTCCTTTGGATGGAGGTTTGAGAAGGCCCTGACCTTTGACCCCGTGGGTCATCAGACTAACTGTGCCTTCAGAATGCTTCGTCCCGATTCCCGCCACAAACCCTCACACGCGGTTTTTACTCCTCTAGCAGGAACGGTGCAACGTTCTCTTAGACCCGACACCAGATCTAAAGGCTTTCGCTTTAAAACGTCAACGTTTCACGCGTGACTTCTTTTGGTCTATAGCTCCTATTTAAATAAATACATAAGTTATTACCTTAAACTTCCTGCACACTGGCGACCACCCTCCTACAGAACCAACTAGCTGCACGACACCAACACACACACACCTGTTTTTATCAAAGAGGAAACAAATCACAAGTTCTCATTAAATCCACCTTAAAGGACATTAGAGCCTCAAACAGCTGATGGCTCTAGAAAACATCTAATCCTTCATCTTCTGCCTCAGCTCGCATGACGACTGCATCACATCATACCTGAGCTCTTCTTCAGGAAAACATTTCGCCTGATTTCCTGGATTTTAACCAACAGGACATGTGACGTAACAATAAGCTCAAAATTTAGATCAGTAATGTTAAAAATAATAAAAACAATCAAAATGAAGGAGAGAATCTGAGGACTTTCAGGTTTAAAGTAAGTGTTTAAGTGAAAAACAAGAGAAACGGGACTGGGTCGGAGGTTTGAAGCGTTTCTGTGAGTCTGAGCATCGAAGAGAAGAAACAAGGACCGGAACCGCGGCTCCAAGAGTCCAGAACAATCAGTGCAGGATCCTCCAAAAGCCGACCGACGATCCATCAAACACAACCAAAAACTAAAACGTTAAGACGTCTGCAGAGCTCCTTTAAGACCAGTGTTTACCATCACACCCGTCTGTAATAAATAACAGTAAAACCAGACTGGTGCTCACTGTAGACTCACAAACAACAACCTGAGCCAACAGAACCGAAGCCGGGCCTCGGATCAAACATGCTGTCGGTCCACAGATTAAAGCTGGTAAATAAACAACAACAAAACCTCTGAACCAATCAAAGAGAAGGAAAATAATTAGATTACAAAACGGTGACCCCGCGAGCTTCAGGTACCGGGATGAGTCTGAATAAAGCTGACGACCACTGAGGGATGATCCTTAAGTCTGATTCTGTTTCCTGAACAGAGTCAGACTCCTCAGACTTTAACCGCCGGGGGGCAGACGGGTGACCTCCTCCATTCATCACCATCAACTCCGACATCAGGATCCACAGAACAAGAAGTCTCCTTCCTGCTGAACGCGTCTGTCCTTGGAGGGGATGTATCCTGACCCACATCCCTCCCATTCAGCCGCACGTCTCCCAGATGTGCCCATCTGTCCCGCAGGGTGAGGGAGTGACAGCGAAGCAGCAGTTCCACCTGAGCTCCACGCGTGAACAGTCATTCCAGATGCTGCACCAAACTCTCAGCGTTGCTGCTTTTTGGACCAATTCAGTTTGTTTTGATTATTTACAAACAGTTTATGTATCTTTACACCTGTAGGAGAAAACGATTAAAGTCTTACAGAACCCATAAAACAAATGTGTGTGTGTGTGTTTACACAGCAGCAATTCCAATCAACTTTTCCTACAAAGTGTGTTTTGCGTGTTTTGAGCGTATGTAGGGTGTAAAAAGGCAGCTCTGTGATGCATTGGCCGAGGGGTGGGGGTGATGATTGGCTGGCTTTGCCAGATGTTTTTAGCCTGCCGTCTCCACGATGGAGAGCAACAGGAGGAGAGGGGAAACGTGAGCTGTGAAAACTGGTTCATAGTTTGTTAAATGAAACACGGATGTTCCAATTTCCTGATTCTTATTTGTCTCTTTTCCACTGTTGGGATGCTGGGCGGGTGGGAATGATGAGGAACTCCAGTGTGAGAGTTCTGGCACTGAAAAGGCTCGGGAACGTCTCGTCTTGTTTCGCGCTCTGATGGCGGCCGGGTCTGTGGAGGAGCAGAGAGGCTTTCATCCACCGCTGCAGGCAGAACCGCCACCGAGAGGCTCCCGCCGTTTAAAAGGTGAGAATCCGTCGGGATGGACGCAGCGGCTCGTGCATTGAAGGAATAAAATAAAATAAAACGACAAAGTCATCAGTTGTTTTTGGTTGGTAGTTCAACGCCCACTCGCTGGGTGATCTCTTGTTTAGGGGCCAGAGTTTCCTCCTTTGAATAAATTCTGGACCCAGGCGAGGGGCGTGGCCTGATGTCAGGAATCATCGTCGGTGTCCTCAATCAGAACCTTGGTGTCACGTGTCTTTGACCTGGGGGGGTGGGGAGAAAAGACTTAGACCCAAGGTATCCTCATCTACAAGAAACATCTTTCAGCTGAAATATGACACACACACACACACACACACACACACACACACACACACACACACACACACACACACACACACACACACACACACACACACACACACACACACACACAGACAGACAGAACTCAAGTCCCCAAACCAGCCTCTCCCAGCTAACCGGCCTCCACCACGGACCACAACTCCCAGCATGCCCCTCGCGGGGGATTTCCTCCACGTCGCACCTGCATCACGAACCGCGACTATATATGGAAGTCGCCTCCCCAGCTCATCACTCAGTCATCGTTTCTTCGGATCTATGATCAGAGTTTCCAAGCCACCGATCCATCTCACGAACTCTCAGCTCACAGTAAGTGTTCTTACTTCTGGAAAACCCAGCATTTCCGTGTCACTTCAGTGACGCTCGGGGATTCCTAGAAGAAAACCGAGGGCCGACGTTTCACCGACGCTATCACTTCCGCGTCCGTGAGACCACGCTCTCCACAAGCTCAACTCCCGTCTCCAGCCGACCGGTCTGACACACACACACCGGTATGTCTACACGTGTTGGGTCCCTTCACTGACTTGCATTCATCTTTGTGACATTACTATGCCTAATCCTAACATTAAAGGTACAGCAATCGATGTTTCTGAATTTCAGGAAAGAGCCCCCCTCCCCGCGTTGCTCATCACTCTCCCAGCGCCTGTTTACAAGTAGCGGCCGGCCGTAATGTGCAATAAGAGGTTCTAAAAATAGCACGCAGAACGTTTGCTTACCTCTCGAGCAGGAAACCGGCAACAGCGGCGTCTGTGGGGAGCGGACTGGACCGCGTTAGCCCCTTCCATGAGAGTGCGGGGGTGCACAGAGCACGCACGCGCAGGAAGTGAAAACAAACCCAGGATTGGCTTCACCAGAAATTGACATTTTTGCGGACCAATGGTTGACGTGATCCACCCGGAAGAAAAACATCGATTGCTATACCTTTAACTAAAAGTCACAATTTCAAAATGTCCCCATGTCAGAGGAGAAAAATAAAAAACGTGCCCTCACAGCAGATGTAAGACATGCATGCAAGCTTGTTTGACACAAACAGCTCTACCAGCCGACAGAGGACAGGCTGCATTTACAGAGAACAGGTCCGTCGCCTAAAAGTTTCCCAACAAGAACAGAACCGGACTCTAAAGAGAACATGTGAAACGACTCCTTAAATGTGACTTGCAAACAGAACAGGACTTTCTTATTACACTAAGCAGCCCAGCTCTGGCTTTCCTTCATGTTCAGCTGCTCTGAGCAGAGAATGCGTGATTTGTGCGCGTGCAGCGGAGGGACTGGATGTTTCAGATGTGATTAAAATTTTTCATTGTTTTTTTTAATAAAACATTTTATTTATTGGTTGTCATCGAGGTCCTACCTCAAGTGGAGTATCTCGGGGTCTTGTTCACGAGTGAGGGTAGGAGGGATCGGGAGACCGACAGGCGGATTGGTTCGGCGTCTGCAGTGATGCGGACGCTGAGCCGATCTGTCGTGGGGAAGAGGGAGCTGAGCCAGAAAGCCAGGCTCTCGATTTACCGGTCGATCTACGTCCCAATCCTCACCTATGGTCATGAGCTTTGGGTAATGACCGAAAGAACGAGATCGCGGATACAAGCGGCCAAAATGAGTTTCCTCCGTAGGGTGGCCGGGCTCAGCCTTAGAGATAGGGTGAGGAGTTCGGACATTCGGGAGGGACTCGGAGTAGAACCGCTGCTCCTCCGGATCGAAAGGAGCCAGTTGAGGTGGTTTGGGCATCTGGTCAGGATGCCTCCTGGACGCCTCCCTGGGGAGGTGTTTCGGGCATGTCCTGCCGGCAGGAGGCCCCCGGGTCGACCCAGGACACGTTGGAGAGGTTACATCTCCAATCTGGTCCGGGAACACCTTGGGGTCCTGCCGGAGGAGCTGGTGGAGGTGGCCGGGGAGAGGACGGTCTGGAGCTCCCTAGTTGGGATGCTGCCCCCGTGACCCGGACCCGGATAAGCGGAGGAAGATGACGACGGTTGTCATTGATACGTGAAGAGCATTTTAAGCTTAATAAATGGCTTCAGAAAAAACATCAAGCGGAACTTTTAACTATGAATAAATAAATTGTAAAGCAGCACCAGACGTTGGGGTCTGTTACAAGTTACTTTCCTACAGGTTTTGGAAGCAAACGTTACAGGAGGAGAACTTCAGGCTCAGGTAACTTTGATCCTCCTGTGTGAAGTGAAGCATTGGTTTAAGGCAGCAGGAGTTTATAGGTTCGTAGACCTTGGTGTAAATTTATTCCCACACATACCAGATTAGGAGTGTGACCACAGTATCATACAGTTTGTTTGTTCTTTTAATCTCCCAGATGAATACTGACTGTGAGGCCAATCGTGGTCTACGCAGACTCATACTGTAGCTCCTCTTCCAGGACTTCTTTCCCTGTCGGTTTCTCACTCCATCCTCCTGGTCCATCATCTGCTCCAGCAGGGTCTGGTCGTCGGCATTAAGCGGAGCCACACTGATGTCGCGAACGGCCCTGAACTCACCACAGTTGTTCAGATGCTCGTTCTCCAGACGGAAGAAGTTCCACACAAAACGCCTGAAGAGAACCCCACAGTTAAAGACATCTATTTACAACAATAGAAGAGAAAAAAATCCAACAGAATAAATGATTACAGGAAGCCTTATGTGCACCTGAACACCTCCAGTGGAGCCAGAACTGTAGCCAATATGTCTGACACGCCTTGGAAATTAGTGAGAGTGGTGAGGGTTATGGTTAAAATCCAGGCAAAGCGTAAGAACACGTCCTCCACTATGGCGCAGTAATAGTACGCCTGGAGAGAGAGAGAGAAGACGTCATCACACCAGGGTTCCTGCAGACCCTCAGAGACTCAAACACACCAGGCACCTTCTGTGGATAGACAATCTCCTCCCTCAGGAAGGTGTTTTCTCCTGCATTACGATCAAACAGGCCCCAGTCCATCTTCAGATCCCAGATCAGTGTATAGCATGAGCTGATTATCAAACAGCTGATGTACAAATAAAAGTAGACTTGGGACTCCGGGTGGATCTCTGGGGGGAGGAGATAAAAAACAGCAGTCATGTTCAATCACTTCTCCTGTCTTTACTCAGTTTAAACCTGCTGATGATAAAAATGACTTCCTGGTTCGTATTTAATAGATTAGTGTAAACCACTGACGGTTGCCCTGCCTCCAACATGCCTCCATCTAAAAGGCTAGGCTATCCAGAGTTATCTCTGTAGCTGTGCTGCTATAGGCTTAGACTGCTGGAGGACACACTGACCACTTTCCACACTCGACTACTTTCTTCTACTATCTGCTCTTTAACTGTATTATTTCCTGCTATTTCAGCTGTTAACTTTGTTTTTTCTCTAAGTGTTTTTCTCCCCAGAAGAAGCTACAACGATGTTCTGCTGAGCTGCGGTGGCCTCATGGAGGGGGCCTTCAGCTAGCCCACTGCTGCTAACCACTTAAACTTTCTCCATCTCCTGATAACATTTTACTCTCTTTGACATTGAATGTGCTACTACTAGTTTACAGTCATTAATTAGAAAGAAAATGCAACTGATAAGTGAAAAGCCCACCCCTCCATCGCCGAAACAAAGCAGAATCAAACATCTAAATGATGAAATCTAAAGCCTGGTTCATGCTTCTCCGTCAGCTCCGCAAGGGACGGACACGCACGGATTGACGGAAGCGCTTTGCTCTCATGCTTCTCCATCTCCTGGGGAGTGTTGCAAAGCAATTCCCCGCCAGGACAACAGAGGGCGTAGCGCTGTTCTGTGGTATCCTGTCATGTATCGGTCCAAGATAGTGTGTTTATATTGTTTTTTTTTGTATATAAGAGACTTTTTAACACAGACATATTTGTCTCTCATCCTCCTCCACCTCTTCATGCGCTCGCCACCTCTAAACCCACGTTTCCTGTCATTTCTGTCCACAAATAAAACGCTTGATGCGCATCTTTTCACTCCTCCAGTCACGGGAGAACTAAACGTTCATGTTTTCAGAGTTTTGTCGCGAGGTATTCTTCAAGCTTCTCCATGTCTGCCGCTAGTTATCCTCGGCTCTCTTTTTGTTTTTGAGGGCGCAATGGCGGCGCTGTAGACGACAGCGGCGTCCTGACCAATCACAAGCTTGCGTTGTCCGTCTCGACTGACGGATGTTTAGAAAAGAGAGCTCGACTCCGTCCGTCCTTGCGGAGCTCTCCGGCAGGCCCGCAAGGACGTTGCGTGTCTCCGCGCTGCCGCAGACGGAGAAGCATGAATCAGGCTTAACAGCACTGTGGGATTATTAGTGTTAATAAGCAGCTTTGTGCAAATCTACTCTGTTAGTTTATGGTTTTATTTGACGTTAATTAAGAACCCTAAACCTATTACCGTGTTTTCCGGACTATAAGTCGCTCCGGAGTATAAGTCGCACCAGCCGTAAAATGTATAATGAAGAAGAAAAAAACATATATAAGTCGCATTTTGGGGGGAAATTTTATCATTTTTCTTACAAAATCTGAGACCAAGCATTTCACATTGCAAGACAAGTACCGGCAACAATAACAGAATAAACAACGCGGCGCAGCATTGCGCCACGGTCTCCAGCAGAGGATGGCGGTGTTTCAAACCCTCCCAGCGGGGCAGAGGAGCTGAAACCTGGTCCAGAGCCAACCCGCAGCAGCGCGGTCTACATAATTTGGTATATAAGTCGCAGGACCAGCCAGACTATGAAAAAAAGTGCGACTTATAGTCCGGAAAATACGGTAAAAGGTAGCTGTAGAACATAGGTGAGTTTACCTTTGTGTGTGCTGTACAGTGCAGAAAAGGTGACAACAAAGAAGGATGTGGAGTACTTCCCAGCATTAACCAGGTGAGGAAAGGCCCGTTTAGTGTCGCGATAACGTCGCAGACACTGGGCGAATCGGAACCACGCAGGAAGACACTTGATGACTGCGCGGACGCCGTAGGAGTATGTGTTACACTGGCTTTTATCTGAACACAGCAGCATCAGTCAGCTCAGTATCGTCTCAGCTGTGAACTACACACCAGTAAATATTTGACATACATGCTGGCGTGTTCCGATTACCTCTGATGTTCAGGACAAGTCCACTGTGCTCCGTCCAGTCCAACTCTGAACTGTAGAAGCAGATCATGTACTCTAGATCCATCAGAACCACCACCAGAGAGTTGAGCTGGTCAGCCAGCCAGAAGTCTGCAAATCCAACATGGTGGAATGGAGCGGTCACAACACGAAACTGTGGACAGAAGACACACAGGAACGTGACTCTCGCTACTACGACGGGAAAAGTCAGCTGCTTTTTAACTTTTCTACAGCAGCATTCAGGTTTTGATGACTGTTTAAATACTACATGGAGTTTAGTGTCTTGCCCATGGGCACGTCAACATGTGGTGGGGAAGCAGGGATCAAAGCATCAACTGCAGGTGAACCACTTGATCTCGAGTCCTCCTGTAGAGGTGTAAGCGCGGGCTGACTTAAAGTCACACATGAGGTTCATCAGTCAGGGGAGGCTGAATCTTGATTTGATTAAAGGTTTCTGTCTAAAATTAGCGCCTCACTAAATTGGAACAATTTTATTTCACTTGACCGACTCTTAAATTTCAGTTTTTAAAGACCAGACAGAAGTTTTGGGTTTCAGTTTTTCATTTTGCAAAGCAGTCATAAGTCAATTTCTCTAACATAATCAGTGAGAAGCTGTGTTCCACGTATGTCCCTCGATGATGCGTTCAGAGGGGTCAGCCTTTGTAAACACTGGTGCTACTTTAGTCGTATTCTGTTCAACTTCCTGGTCCCAGTTAGGAACGGGACCGCCCTCTCCGTTTTGTTGAATGAAGCTCAGATCAGCTGAGTCTGACCGCTGTGCTCACAGGGGGGAGTGCAGCTGCATTCAGGCTTCTGCTTTATTAAATGGTCTCAGTTCCTATAGGGCTTTCGTAGGGTTCTACAACCCCCCAAGGCACTTTACAACACAATCAGTCATTCACACACACATTCACACACTGGTGGTGATGAGCTACGATGTAGCCACAGCTGCCCTGGGGGCGCTGACAGAGGCGAGGCTGCCAAACACCAGCACCACCGGACCCTCCAACCACCGCCAGCAGGCAAATTGGGTTAAGTGTCTTGCCCAAGGACACAACAGCAGCATTCTCTGGTCGGAGCCGGAATCAAACCTACAGCCTTCCGATTACTGGACAACCCACTCAACCCGTTGAGCTACTGCTGCCCCAGCGTTCAATTACATTAGGGTTGACGAGTTATTAACACCGATGAGTTTTCTGTCACCAGGCATATTTACTGATGATGTTTTTCTGCTCAACAACCGACTTGTAAACCAAAACCAGGTCAGTTTAAACGACGTTACCCCGTCTTCTTTAAAACCACTTCCTCCTCCACCTGCTGCATTCAGCCACAGTGGACAGAAATAGGGATCCTGTGCTGGGGTAAACCCTGCAGACCATCTGAATTTTTGGGTAATACAGACTAGAGCATGTTTGCTGACAGACTTTTGCAATAATCAGGTTTTTTTTCTTCCAGAAAATGCTAAAACAAAGATGGCTTGTCATCAAATTTAAAAGCCATTCCTGACTATTTATTCTGTCATTTTTTTAAACGGATCCACCATTGGGCGTGTGATTCAATTCAAAAATACTTTATTAATCCCAGAGGGAAACTGATTGCTGTAGTAGCTCAGAATAATAATAATAATCAAGTCATCAAAGAGTTGTTGTATATTACAACGGCTGTTGGCAGGAAGGATCTCCAGTAGCGGTCAGTGTTGCAGCCAAACTGAAGAAGCCTCTGACTGAAGACACTCTTCCGTTGTCGGACAGTCTTGTGAAGAGAACGCTCAGGGTTGTCCATCATTTTCTTGATTCTCTGGAGAATCCTTCTTTGCATTGTCTCCTCCAGCGGTTCCGAAACTGCCGAAACTCTGGCTGAGTCCTTGAAAGGGCTTGGAGTTCCTCCATCTTGTTGGCCAGTGATCTCACATTGCCCGTTATGATCGATGGAAGAGATGGTTTGAATTTCCTCTTTCTCTGTCTCCGTTTTGCTCCCGCTCTGCACTCACGCTTCTTGCCTTTTAGCTCATTTGGGATTTGTGGCTTCAGTTGAGGTGTTATTTCAGCCTTTCCAATGTTAATCAGCTGCTCCCGATTGTAAACCAGCTTGTTGCCATGGTTACGCATCATAACAAATGCTCAAAAAGTGAAAAAAGCTAAAAAATAGCAGTAACAATCCTCCAAGCTTCACAGCACCAGAAACAGAAAAATAAAGCGTCCCAAAAAATACAGTTTTACTTGAGAAACTAGAAGAAAAAATGCCCAAGAAAAGGCTAAACTTACATATAGTCAACAGAGCTACTCCAACATGCAGCCACCCAGAGCAGCGCAGTTCCGGAAAAATCTGTGATGGCTTTCTGGTTGGTACTACGGTTCTCAGGCTACGCTCTGGTGAAATCAGCTGCTAGTTTCCATCCATGAGGTGGAAACCATGTCTAATTTAAAGACATCAGACTTTACTTTGTGATAAATCTTCTAGCTAAGGTCATCCTGGCTCATCCCTTTAGTTATTCTGTCATATTGTTACTATTTAACCCCTTGTACATAGAACAGATTGTGACTAAACGAACAGCTACTATTTTATTTGCGTGTGTTTACCAGGAGTTTGAGCAGCCAGAAGCGTGACTTGTAGTAACAGGTCTTGAAGGGGTTGATGAGAAACAAGAGGAAGAAGCCATAAAGGGCCAGAGGGTTGGCCTGCATCGGAACCAGGATGTTGTCACGGAACAGGCAGGACAGCAGGCTGACACACCACAACACACCCAGCAGGCCTGCAATCTGTACAAAACACATGCACACACACACATGCACGCACACACACACACAATGTCTCTCAAGCTTCTGGCACAAAACGTGCTCAGTGTGAGGCTCAAACTTCAATCTAAGAGCAAAAGATCCAAAAAACACATAACGACCCCGATTGTTATAGATCATAGGTCGCATGCGTGTGTGTGTGTGTGTGTGTGTGTGTGTTCTGACCTCAAACAAATGCTGATGGGATAGATTATTTCTGGGATTGAGCTCAAATATGAGTACATGATTGACTCCAGCCTGCCTCCAGCCGTATGTATTGATCCCTGAAGAGAAAATGAAGGAGAAATGAGTCCAGCTGACTTCACTGTTTTACCATCAGTGCTTTTACTTTTATGTAGTTTGTAAGTTTTGGTAAAAAAAAAAAAAACATGCTGACATGGCACTCTGACAGGTTACGTCTCAACTTCTACAGTGAAACTAAGCAGGTCATCAGGAACCCAGAAATGAGTGAACAGACGCAGGCTGGATGTGAGGATGTACCTAACAGGAAGAGGAATTCTATAATCAAGAAGCCTCCTCTGTAGATCCTGACCATAGGCCAGATATTGTCATTACGAATCATCACAGCTCCTTAAACAGTGAGATGAGAGACAGAGAGAAGCACATCAGGTAAAACTCCAGCAGTGAACAGAAAAAGCACGTATTAGTTATGGCTTCATTTGCTGTTCCTGATAAATTAGACAGTTCTGTTGTGACTAAATAATTGTTCTATTTTAATCAAAGACAGAAACCTGATTTTAACCTGCAGGAAGAAACGATTTTAGTAGACTTTCTATTTTTCTAACACCACACTAAAGGGACTTTACGGAGTTTTGAATTTCTAATGCTCGTGATTGCCCCCTCAGGCCAAAAGTGTAATGGCAGCTTCAATAGTAGGCTCGTGCACGAGGCGCGCATGCTGTACGTGCACACTCCTTAACGAAAATAACAGCTGAGGTGTGTGTGTGTGTGTGTGTGTGTGTGTGTGTGTGTGTGTGTGTGTGTGTGTGTGTGTGTATGTGTGTGTGTGGCCCGGAGGACAGAGGACAGGATAACACGCAGCTAATTAATTAAATAATGTGGTTCTGTACCTTTCTCTTCAGCACAGCCGACAAAGGTTTATGATGGGTCAGTCCTCCTGCATGCTCAGATCATTCCCTTCCCTTGCTTGAAAAATTGTTCCAAAATGAAAGTTGAACCCACATCTTTTTATCTGTGAATTCAATGCCGTTCGGCGAGTCTCAAATAAAAATTTGGGCATCTTACTGTAAAAAATATACCATTAATGTAAAAAAGAAACTCTAAATAAACTATGTTCACATCCAGAATCGAACCCAGGCCTTCTGCCCGAGAGTCCGACATCTTACTAGGTGAGCTAAAGCACCAGTGATGTCTTTTCTATCTGTAACATTTATATCGTTGATGACAGCTGAAACAACGTTCAAAGAACGGTTCGGAGTGAAAATGGCTATTTTGTTGCTAATTTGCGGAAAATATCTAGAAGAAAGTTCTACAGAAAGTCGCTAAGGGTCCTCAGAAATGTAGCTAGCTTTGTCACTAGGCGTTAGGAACAGCGACAAAGTGGCACTGCCTCTCTCTCTGCTGCTAAAGCTACGGATAGCAAATGCTACGGGCGATGCCTGAGCGTGAACGCGCATGAAGCAGCCTGCTCGACCCGAGCATCTCTCTTTTTCTGTGATTTTACAGAAAAACAGGCAATCACAGTAAAAATGCCAGGGCTCATTCTACAGGACCAGGGCATTGCAGGAGAATGTATGAAGAAGACATTTAATATTTCTATACATGTTTTGGCTGTCACACTTCCATGATGCCCCTTTAAGAAATGGTTTCTACAAGAAAACGGTCTTCCTCATCAGGCTTTAGCATCATCCATATATTTAAAACAGGAACGTCTGCTGAGCTACAGATGATGCTAACGTTCCAGAAAATGACTAATTATTATTTAACAGTATTAGAATAAGAGTAGATGTGTGTGTGTTACCAGAAATAACCACTGTGACTAGTAGGACCAGGAACACTCCACAGTAAAGTCCAACTCTGAAGGTGGTCCAAGCAGGAGCAGGCTGTAAACACAGACACGCTTTATCTTAGCGGGATTAGAGCCATCTGTTTGGGATTGAGCGGGAATGCCACCGTCTTTAAACAGTTCAGTTTTCCAGTAAATAGAAATAAGCAACATCACATCACATGTCCTTAAATAGGTCTTTAGGTTTAATCTAAATATTTGCTTTCATGACATAAGGTTAAAGTCTGAATTTAACAGTAAATGATGTTTTCATGCAGGAGCAGACCTACAGCTAGCAAACGCCGCAGCCCACAGACCGACGTCCTGATTCATGTTAACTCAGGCGTTTGCTGTTTGGGTTGCTTCGTCTTTCTGGGCTCACAGCCAACACTGCTTTGGTTTTAACACACAGGTGAAGCTCCAGAGGAGCAACACGCTAAAACTCATTCATTCATTCATTCATTCAAGGATGGGTTTGATCATCTCCACCTGCAGCAGACGCTACAGGACCTGGGATGTTTTCCAGCAGCAGAGTGGGTGGACTGGGCTTCACAGCTTCATTAGATAAATGATCACATGATTCATGTTCAGGCCCGGAAAGGACAAGAGATTATTTTAAATCAGAAAACTATTATCTGAATCTCATGAATGTTCGGTGTAATCTACACTACAATTCAATTCAAGTTTATTTATATAGCGCCAAATCACGACAAGAGTCGTCTCAAGGCACTTCACATAATAAACATTCCAATTCAGGTCAGTTCATTAAGCCAATCAGAAATAATGTTTCCTACATAAGGAACCCAGCAAATTGCATCAAGTCACTGACGAGTGTCAGTGACTGTACAGCAATCCTCATACTAAGCAAGCATATAGCGACAGTGGAGAGGAAAACTCCCTTTTAACAAGAAGAAACCTCCAGAGAATCCTGGCTCAGCATAAGCAGCCATCCTCCACGACTCAACCGCTCATGGATTTATTAGTCAGAGTCTGAATAATTACACAACAAAATAATGGGTGTTATTCACTTATAGCTCTGTGTGTAAGTGTGTGTGTGTGTGTGTGTGTGTGTGTGTGTGTGTGACTGACTTGTGCTGCTCCAAGAGGAGGAACCCTCAGCCTCTTCATGGCCTTCTGCCTGTCACCTCCTTCCAGCTCTGTCGTGACCAGAGTCTGATGGACACGAGGGACAAATATGAGTCAACGATTCTGTCTAGACGGTCATACAGCAGACAGGACACACACGTGTGTGTGTGTGTGTGTGTGTGTGTGTGTGTGTGTGTGTCTCACCTCGGTCTCAGAGATGATCTGTGTGATCTTCTTGCATGTATAAAACGGAGCCACTTCAACGTGGGCCACCCTCCAGTCGGCCCCCCTCGACGTTTCCAAAATCTTATCATGCTTCTTCAGGATCTTCCTGAAACCTGTGAAGTTCAGGTTCTGCAGGAACCCGAAGAAAGCCGTGTTAACCCCAGCTGACTGAACTGAGCTGATGCTAAAATCCAGCTAAACAAAGTGTCTCCATGTCCTGGTTGTCTCTATGATGGACTGGAGACCAGATTTTTCTGTGAAGGTTCTTGTTTTTTTCTGACTGTTGCTTACATTTTCTCTTTGATCTCTACTGCTTAAAAGGAAGTTCCCCCTTATCTTAGTTTACATTTACGTTAGAAAATCAAACTCTTAAATGAAGTTCATTCCACTCCGGTACTGTAGGTGGCGACATGCGCCCTTCAGTGTCAGGCCCAAGTCTCCTCCCGAAAAATGAATTCAAGTCAACAGCGCTAGAAGAGCCGTTATCTAATGCGCTTTGCCTTACGCCCTGGATCACATGATAGTTCTATTTAAATGAAAGGTAATGACGGTGTTTCGACCACGCCAGCCACGTACGTTGAGATTTATCAGCTTGTAAAAGATTGTAATTAGCATGACTACAAATTAGATATTGGTATGTTGCATATATGGCGTCACCACAGAATCTCCTCTCCCCTAGCATAGCTGCTACTCACCAAATGGTCTGATTTACGGTTGTTCTTTCTTCCTGAAGGAAGGATTTGAGGTTTGCTGAACCTACAGCCATTTTCCCTCTGTGTCTGGTTCGACGACGTCACTTTGTGAAGCGCATTTGTAGTCCAGGACTTATTTTCACACAAACCTAAAACAACGTTACCCCCGTTTGAAAATAAGCATATTCTTGGCATCAAAATGCGTCGTTAAAATTCACGGACATCATATGTGAAATCCATGGCACGCAAGAAGCGGAATTAGAAAATACGGTTTTTAGCCTCATTGACTTGCATTCATTTCGTCGTTCTTCTGGGGACCCGTGGTCCAGAAGTAGATGGTTGTGACTTAGGCTCCCTACAGCAACACTAATGAATAAACAAAAGCTGGCGGGAGTGAAGCAGACACAGTATAAACAGAATAGGTCCAATGGTCGAAGGAATGGACGACGACGACGCTGCAGCACAGCTTATTTGGTACGTACTGTACTGTCTGATGGTGTTACACCAGTTAGTTTGTGGCAATGATAGAAGTAGAGCCCTGCACGGGCCTAAAATCTGAGCCCGTGTCCGGCCCGGCCCAAGGGGGTGGAGCCCCAGCCCGACCCGGTCCGAAAAGGTTTTCAGGATTCTCTGGCCCGACCCGAGCCCCACTTTTTTTTAACCTTTCATAATGTTTTAGCGTGATAGAATGCTCAGAGTTCTAATTATCTGTGAGAAGCGTTCTGCAGTTAAAAAAATAATAATAATAATAATAAAGAAAAGAAAGAAAAACAGCATCAATGCAGCTTTTTTTTTCTAACAGAGCGTTTTTTTCGAGCGGCAGATGAAATTAACTAACACTGTATTAATTGGATGCGTTTGTAAATGTAATCTGCTCTGAAAACGCGCTCTCCAGTTAGAAAAAACCAGCAATGAATGCTGTATTTTTTTAACTGCATTTATAAACCACACACACCTTAACTGAGCTAACGGGTGCCGGTGTGTGAGAAGCAGGCAGGTGCTGCTGCATTTAAGTGTTTCAGTTTTTTTTTTAATGAATTAGATTAAAAATAAAGGCGCCCGGCCCGTGTCCGAGGTAATTACACAGTCGTTGGCCCGAAGCCCGACCCTCGGGCCGGACCGACCCGCGGGCCCGGGGCTTCAGTGAGAGGCTCTAATCAGAAGATTGCTTCAATGCTCTCGTCACTCCCGGAGGTCTGGGTGCTTCAGCCGGATTAGAACCAGTTCACCTTCAGTAAGACTAACGCGTTTACATGCGTTTTAAAAAACAACGTCAGTCTACTTAGGGCAATAGATACACATGTAAACACACTGAATGGGAAGGGAAGATACCCGAGGTGCGTGTTCCATGACCGTGCTTGCATTCAAAACCTAGCTTGTTCTGTAGATACACCACAATAACCTATCTACAGAACCCAACCCAAACTGACACGAAGGTGTGACTTGTCTGGTTGCATCAGGTCATCTTGATGCTCCGTGGTTAGCCTAGAAATCTAGACAGCTGTAGCAGTAGCAGAAGATTTCCCTCTGCAGGTCGGTCTAGCCACACTCTATTGTAGCCTCAGCAGGTCTACCATTGGCCTGAACAATTTTAGGCCTGGCCAATCACAGCGCTCTATGTTTGTAAAGCGACCCTGAGTGGGCTTAGCACCAGAGCTGTGACAAAGAAAAACTACAAAGATGGCAGTTGCCCAGGAATGACGCTTGTTTGAAACAGCTTTAGCATTAACTCTGGATAATTTAGACTCGGGCTTTTCTTTGAGACATGAGCAGATAGAGGTCCTTTCATGTGTGTGTGGTGGGCCGCTCTGTTGACCGATTACCGTAGCGATGACTATGTTGCGTTGTTCTTTGCTCTGATTGATTATAGGATGGCTTGCCAGGCTACATCATCTTTGAAGTGCTTATAACCTGGAGGAGGAATGTTAGCTCAAAAGATTCCCTTTAGTGTGGTCAATGGAAAAACATCCTGATCAAGGTTAGGGTTAGGTGTGTGTGTGTGTGTGTGTGTGTGTGTGTGTGTGTGTGTGTGTGTGTGTGTGTGTGGTGGGGGGCAGCCTCCACCTGGTAGTTCTGAAGCAGAATTAGGCTGAGGTAGAACTCTGAGAAGGCCAACTGCAAGTCCTTTATGTTTCTGTGTTTGCATCTCTCCTTCTGTGAAAGGGCAAAAACAGTCTTCCTCCTCCTGAGGCCGAGCCCACTGGCCGAGCTCTCCCTCTGGGCGTCCAGCGACGACTGTAGCTCATTCTGAAGGGTGGCAAATCGACGCTGCGCCTCGGCCAGCTTCTCTGAAGACAGTTTAGGGGAAAAGAGGGTGAACAGAAGACAGAATGCCACTGAAAGGCAAACAACCAAATTACTAATTACCAGAATAAAAGGTGTTGATTTTGGCCAGCTCCTTTTCACACGTCTGGAAAAACCTCTCCTCAAACTTGGCGTAGTACCTCTTAACCGTGTCCTCGTCTGTGA